TGTGTGTGTGTGTGTGTGTGTGTGTGTGTGTGTGTGTGTGTGTGTGTAGCTGATGGTACTCAGAAGCATTATGGCACAACAGTATTTGTGCTCAAGGCAAACTGCATTTTATTCCCCTTTGGTGTGAATGTGATGGTCTGTTGTAGGATGTTTAGAGTGATGAACAAACCAGTTTACTGTAACATGAACACTTGTGGGTCACCATATTCTTCTTTCCTCCGTTTACATGGATGAACCTGTGGCCCTTTAGATGTGAAACAAGCCATCGGCGCGTGGAGTGAGTCTGAATGGTGGATGTCATGCAGCGCAGTGATATTATTAGTATCATATCTCTAATGTTGTGCATTGTTTTGGGTTCAATTGTCACTGTTTTCAGCAGCGCCGTTATCATCTCAGATCTAGATGTACTGGATAATTGTTTTAACATTGAGTCGTTATCACAGAAAAAAGAGCATTTCAAAGGCGTACTCGTATTTAAAGCAGTAGTTTGACAGACTTTCAGGTAAATATACGCTAAAAAGTAAAAACGGTTACCAAAATAACATGTTATCTCTAATTTGTCTCGTCCCCAAATATAGTCTTGAGTTGAAAAAAGGAAAATTCATTGTTTTAGGGACTACTTTTTTGGGAGAGTAGTAACTTGCAGGACTTATTGGTCCTGGTGTTGCACCAAATATCAGCTATTTATCACATACTTGATTTGACAGCTGTTACCAAACATGGTGCCCCTAAAAATGTCAAATGTCAAACTATTCTTAAAATGACGTCTTCTTTGCTTACTAATCAAAATGAAGTTGCATTGTAAAACATTTTCTGTCCATGAAACTCGACCACAGTGAAGCGCCTTCACATCAGAACCAGTGTGTCTGTGCGCGTGAGAGGATTTGTCCCCGTGTTCTCTAAATGAACACAAGACACTATTTATACCGTTAGCTTGCTAAACGATATTGTCTTACTATATCTATTTTTCATACAGAATCGATGAGTGTTTTTCATGGACGTTGGTACTGAACAGTTACATCCCTGCAGAGGGTCGACTCTCAATCTTCCTGTGTCGGTTTAGATACTGCTGATCAAATTGTACTACATGACGATCTCCCGCTCTGCCCTGAAGGACCGATGCTTCTCTCTCACCGTGAGGTTTCTTCTTCTTCTTCCCTGGTCTGACTGGAACTGTTGAATTTTAAATCATAACACTCTCTCAGGTTCCTCAAGATGCTGTATGATGACACATCAGTCAGGAGTGGGCGATGTGTAGCCCGACACAATGTAAATTCAATGTCTGCAGCGTACAGTTTCTACCAGTGTAGTCATCCCTTTAATATTTATGGGTGTATTACGTCATTTTTGGCAAAGTTACAAATCTGACCTTTTTTTATGGCAATGTGGATTCTTCATGATTGAATAACTTGATTTATAAGTGTTTCATTTGCAGGATTAGAAAGTTGTTTTTCAATTGATTTTCCAGAGAGTGGACTATATTGAAACATATAAAATGATATATGTCGTGACGAGAAATATCCTAATCGCCCACTCCGACCATCACAAGACTCTGAGCTGCACAGAAAACTGCCACTTCATCCTGCGTTCATGTTCCCAGCTCCTTCATTACTCTGCAGCCAGTTCTACAGTCGGGCTGTGTAACTTTGATACCAGTAACGTTTGGGCCTATTCGGACCGTTTTGTTTGTGTTCAGAAATGCTCCTTTTACCAGTCTCTCGTGAACACGTTCAGGCTATGATGGGGTCAGATTCTATAAAGAAGCATTCTTTTATTTCCTGTTTGGGCATTTCTAGTTCAAGTGACTCACTCCTCCTGCATTCATGCAGCTTTGCAGGTGTAGCTGTGATTTTAGTATCTCTTTAGTTTGCTTTTGTAAAAAGGGGGCAAGGTTTCTTTTTTTATAAAGTCTGTTAATGTTATGTATCATTTTAAGCTATTTATAGCATACACAACGGTCCTTGTTGAACAAATCAATAATGCATCATAGTTAATGGTAATATTGTATAACTAGGTTTGTTTTTTTAGATGTTAAATATTTTGATAATTTATTTTTTAACACATTCCCATTGTTGAGAGATGAGGGTACTGTGTTTTTATGTGTATGCTGTTTTACTTCTGATCTCTGTACAAACTGATTTGTATGATTCCTCGTTTTCTATTTTTTTGGCATCTTTTTTCCCCGTTTGTGCGTCGGTGCTTTCTGCACAGAGCAGCGTACGCGATGTATCGACAAAACGTTTTGGTTGGACTTTGTTTTCTTTGGGTTGTAATAACTTGTACATTTAAAAGTGTAAATTATGTTTTCATTATTTTATAAAAAATATATTAAAAACAGTCAACATGGTCTGATTTCTATAACAATTCTCCCAATGAAGTTACACAACTGGTACGCGTTTTCATTAATCAAAAACGTTTAGATATTTATCTGAAAACATCCAATTACGTGTAAATGTGGAACCATTGTGGTTTTAAGCTCAATAAATGTCTAGTTTAATATTTTGCTAAAGTAGTCTGGAGGGAAAAAACATTACTGTAACTTCAAACATGCAACTATTTTAACAGGTTTCGTAGACTGCTTTAGACGGGGAATGAAGGAGGATCCAGGAATCAAACCTGGGACTTGCAGCACAGGGAATTTGTCACCATAAAGAAAATGCATCTCATCTTTTATTTTAAAGGGACCATGTACAGTTAACATGTCACCATTTGATGCACTGTACCAGATTATAGCTGTAAGCCAATTTGCATGTGTAGTCTGAATTCATTGATAACAGAAATTAGCTTCAACACAATAAAACTTGCATGTAAAATGTTTTATTTCAAACATAAAATATATTTTGTAGCGAGAACGTGCGGTTATATATTTTACATAAGAAAGCAGAACACTTTAATAAATTTAATTCTATACATTCCGACAGGTTTGTGACAGTGCGGTCAATGAAAAATGCTCACGTTTCTGTAACAAATGCACTTAAATAACACCACGATCGAGTCACAGCTGGTGACGACCTGAAGCCTCAGCAGGTGGGAGTGATTAGAGAGAGTGCGAGGACACGTAGTCTACGATCCACACATGAGACAATCATCGCGGTTCTCCAGAGAACACACTATGGCAGCGATGTTGCGCTCTTTGATCTCCTCTGTGGCCTTGACCGGCTCCTGCGCCTCCTTCATCTTCTCCTTGTTCAAGGTGAACTGGATGGGGTTAGCGGCAGGCTTCGTCCTGAGGTAGTACATCCCCGTCTTCAGACCCTGTGGTGAGAGGAAGAGACGAGTCTTAATGCACGTTGTTGCACTCATTAGTAGTAACTGCTCCTTTACATCCCGGTCTCACTTACTTGTTTCCAGCCGTAGAAGTGCATGCTGGTTAGTTTGCCGTAGTTTGGCTCTGCGATGTGGATGTTCAGCGACTGGCTCTGGTCGATGAAGGCGCCGCGGTCGGCGGCCATCTTGAGTATAGTCTTCTGGGAGATTTCCCAAACTGTTTTATACAGCTGCTTCAGATCATCTGGAATCTCATTAATGTCCTGTTGAAACAAATCATTTAACCAGAACAGTTACAACACCAGAGCTGAAACACCCATTTAATTGTTCACAACCTTTTTAAAGCAAACATAAGCACACATCAGAGCTTCCTATGAAAGGCAACCTGGATGTGTCTTGTTTACCTGAATGGACCCGTTGTGGCCGATCAGCTGGTTCTTCATCTCCTCGCTCCACAGCCCTCTCTCCGTCATGTCTTTGAGCAGATGAGGATTGACGATCTGAAACTCCCCGGAGAGCACCCTGCGGGTGTAGATGTTGCTGGTGTAGGCTTCGATGGACTCGTTGTTGCCCAGGATCTGGGCGGTGGAGGCCGTGGGCATCGGCGCCAGCAGCAGGCTGTTCCTCACGCCGTGCGTGGCGATCTTCTCCTTCAGCAGCTTCCAGTCCAGCAGGTCGGTGGGCGTCTTCCCCCACATGTCGTACTGCAGGATGCCCTTGCTGACGGGAGAGCCCTCGTACGTCTCGTAGGGGCCGAGCTCGGCGGCCAGGTCGCAGCTCGCCTCCAGGGCGGCGTAGTACATGGTCTCGAAGATCTGAATATTGAGCAGCTGAGCTTCGGGGCTTTCGAACGGGTAACGCATGAGGATGAAGCAGTCCGCCAAACCTTGTACACCGATTCCTATCGGCCTGTGGCGCTTGTTGGACTTCTCCGCTTCAGGCACTGGATAGTAGTTTATCTCGATGATCTTGTTCAGGTTTTTGACGATTACTTTGGTCACGGATGCTAGTTTTTTAAAGTCAAAGGTCTGCTCAGGGGTGACGTACATGTTGAGCGCGATCGAGGCCAGATTACAGACTGCCACCTCGTCGTGGCTGGTGTACTCGACGATTTCTGTGCAGAGGTTGCTGGACTTGATGGTGCCCAGATTCTGGTGGTTCGTCTTCCCGTTGCAGGCGTCTTTGTACATCATGTACGGCGTACCGGTTTCCGTCTGGGACTCGATGATGGCATGCCACACCTGCTGAGCCTTCACCACACGCTTGAACCGGCCATCCTTCTCATAGGAGGTGTAGAGCTTTTCAAACTCCTCCCCCCAGCACTCATCCAGCCCCGGGCACTCGTTGGGACACATCAGAGACCAGTCTTGGTTGCTCTCCACTCTCCTCATGAACAGGTCAGGGATCCACATGCCGTAGAAGAGGTCTCTGGCTCTCTGCTCCTCCTTTCCCGTGTTCTTCTTCAGCTCCAGGAAGTCAAACACATCAAAGTGCCAGGGCTCCAGGTACATGGCGAAGGCCCCGGGCCTCTTGTTCCCGCCCTGGTCCACATAGCGTGCCGTGTTGTTGTAAACTCTCAGCATGGGGACGAGCCCGTTGGAGTTGCCGTTGGTGCCGGCGATGTAGCTCCCCGTTGACCGGATGCAGCTGACGGCCACGCCGATTCCTCCGGCTGATTTGGAGATGAGGGCGCATTGCTTCAAGGTGTCGTAAATGCCCTCGATGCTGTCATCTTTCATGGCGAGCAGGAAGCAGCTGGACAGCTGTGGCCTGTTGGTTCCTGCGTTGAAGAGCGTGGGGGAGGCGTGGGTGAACCACTTCTCCGACAGCAGGTTATAGGTCTCGATGGCTGCGTCGATGTCCGTCTCGTGGATGCCGACGGACACTCGCATGAGCATGTGCTGCGGTCGCTCGGCCACTTTGCCATTGATCTTCAACAGGTAGGACCGCTCCAGAGTCTTGAAGCCGAAGAAGTTGTAGGCGAAATCTCTGTCGAAGATTATGGCCGAGTTGAGGCGGTCTTTGTTCTCAAGGACGATGTTGAGCGTCTGCTTGGAGATCATGGGAGAGTGGCGTCTGTTCAAGGGGTTGACGTAGTTGTACAGGTCCTCCATCACGTCGCTGAACACCTTCTTCGTCTCTTTGTGCAGGTTGGAAACGGCGATCCGCGCAGCGAGGATGGCGTAGTCGGGGTGTTTAGTTGTGAGCGTGGCGGCGATCTCTGCGGCCAGCGTGTCGAGCTCCACGGTGGTGACGCCGCTGTACAAACCCTGGATCACCTTCATCGTGATCTGGGCCGGATCCACAAAGTCAGCGTTAAGTCCGTAGCACAGCTTCTGGATGCGAGAGGTGATCTTATCGAACATGACGCGCTCTTGGCGTCCATCTGAAAAACAAACAAAACACTTTTCAGTTAACCCGATCATCACGGTCCAAAGAAGACAGAACAATTATACAATCAATTAACAGTAAAGATGAAACTATCAGCGGCCTCAGTAATCAGATTAATGCTGATGTCAAACTGGATCTTTAAATCAGTTAAGATCTTTTTGTCATTGTTTAACAAAAAGAAAAATGTTTGAATTGGCTTCCTTTTTAATATTTTCCTGTTCCGACTTTAAATCCACACACATGGATTATTTTGTGCCGATATTAAAGCAAATGTATTCTTTCAAACTTAAGTATACATTTGATAAAATAATAAAAATCGCAGTAGTTCATGGTCTCAACACAGTGCGATTCCTTCTGGTATTTAACTGTTAATCAATGGTGGATGAAGTATTCAGATATTTTTTACCAAAGTCAAAGTAACTATATAATAAAGTGTAAAATAAGCGTTTTACTGCATTAAAAATCTTAAATAAAAGTACATTAAATGTATTAATTAATATACTTCAAGTAGCAAAAGTGGGAGTACTCATTATGCAGAATGGCCAGTTTTAGATTGATATAATGTATAACTAATATAACTTGTGATTACACTCTCACTCACAAAGCCCTCCATAATCAGGCCCCCTCCTACCATCTGAGACTGCACTGACCTTTCCACATTCAAATCTCAAATCAAAACCCACCTGTTCAAAACTGCTTTTAATGTGTGACGATATTGTGTATTTTATGTTTTTAGTGTATTGCTTTTACATATAATGATTTTAATGTAAAGTGTCTTTGAGTACTCTGAAAAGCGCTATATAAATAAGATTTATTATTAATGTTTCAGCTGGTAAAGTATGGCTGATGTAAATGTCTTTATACACAGCCAGGTAGTGTAACCTATAATGTATTAGTCAATTTATAACAATCTAAATCTGCAAAGTCACTCAAGTTATTAAATAGATTTAGTGGAGTAACACGTACAGTATCTACCTACAAAATGTAGTAAATTGCATAAAGTGGAAATACTCAAGTAATGTACCACATAATTGTACTTTAGTAGTCACGTTACTTGAGGAAATGCAGTTACATTCCACTACAACTACTATACACGGTATTGTGGTCTTCAACTATTTATTTAGATTATTCAGTCAACATTAGTCTTTATACTTAACCAACATGTCCTCTAACCAGAGACTCGAGGTGCACATTAACATGCAGGTATGTTGTGCCTTTACGAGCTTAACTTTTCATTTTGGCGCCAACCCTGACACAAAGACTTGTAGCAAACAAATGCCTTCAGCTGAAAGCTCCAGAAATCACATTACGAGTAAGTCAACGGTTGATTGTACAGCCAGCTGGTGATTAATCGGACATTTGTACAACGACATGTTAACATGACGCCAAAAGAGTTAGTCCACTCAATAAAGTGACAGCTTGGCTGCACCCTGCTATGTTACACTGGTGAACTAACAGCTAACTAGTCTAGTTAAGATAGCTAACTAGTCTAGTTAAGATAACTAACTGAAGGCTACTAGCCAACGTTAGCTAACCGACTAAAGCACGGTGAGTAAGTTTAGTGCTACATCAAATAATCAGTCGGATAGAGGCAGCAGATGAGTCGCTGCAGGTGAGTGACAGATCGATCCACATTATTGACAGTTAGCATTGAAGCTAACTGAGGATCCATAACAATAGAAAACAGCTCACCCCGCTTGAGCACGTGCATGCTGGTAACGTGTGTTGTTCCTCGTGTCCTGAGAGAGAAAACAGCAGCTGAGCAGCTACAACTTTATCTTCTGCTCGGTGTCAAACTGTGCGGATACACACAGACTCCGTCCAGACCCAGAGAGAGTGAGAATAACCGCTTAAAGTCCCGCTAACGCTGTATTTGTATGGAAGGCGTCACCGCTACAAGCAGAGATGGACGGGCGTTCTGACCAATCAGCAGCGAGAGAACGCGGGACTTTACTATCTGAGCACCAATCACAACAGTTTGGTCAGCTTCCTCTTCCGTTCATGTTTCCCGGACTAAAATGTGGCGGGAGAGAGCGATGTAGGTCACATAACATGTTTTGTGTTGTCCTGGCCTGTTTCCAGCTCACTAATTAGCATTCATACAGCACACAAGAATGTATCCACACTGTGCTCTCACTCATTTTATGCAATTTATTTCAAAGACACACACAGGGCATCGATGCATCACATCAAATATTACTGCAAACAAAAATAACAAAATTATTTATTGGTCAAGCACCATGGCACATAACAGGAATTTGATCACAGTGAGCTGATCTGAGACCTCTTTTGATATACTCTGATTCATGTACTGGACTGATTTTTTTGTTTTATAATATTTATAGTCACATAAGTAATCAAGGACAATTATTGTACAAAATTAAACACTTAATTACATACTGCTATTAAAATACATCTGAATTATTTTGATTATAGTTCAAAATCAGATTTTTGCAAAGTAAAAGTGAAGTAAAAAAGAAAAGTATTTGCCTCCAAAATTAAGTGGAGTAAAAGTAATAGCATAAACAAAAACAAAAAAGCATAAAATTAAATTATTTGTCCTTAGTCACTTTGACTGTAGTTCTACCATGCGACCAGTAGGCGGCGATAGCGCACCTCAAATCTGTTCGTTAACCACAATATAAAACTAAAAGAAGTTACGCCATTAAACCAGAAACTACTGCCAAGATGTCCCGTAATGAGAAGACATTACAGTTGTACATTTAAATGGAATACTGCAACAGAAGAGTTACGACAAGTTTGCTAACGCTACATGATCTATTTATTGTAGTTTTCGTCATTAGGTGAAAATGAGTTAAACACTAAACAGCTGTAGATAGTTGCTGCTCGCTAAACAAAATTAATCTGTTTGTGTGTAAATTATTATAGTTTATCCTCGATTAATTTGATAAAAAATAAGCCATAAAATCAACAATGCCTTCAAGGAAACGCGCTGCAGGAGTCACATTGAAGATCGGGACCTCAAAAGACAGACAATCAAATGTAAAGGATGCATCACTGAAACAGGACTACAGACACATGTAACCACCGAGCTGACGAACAGCCCTAACCGCTCCAGGCTGCTCCAGCTTTGACTTCCTGTGTGATCTCCCCCCTGCATGCTCCACACGTCGGGTAGGACACGTATCTGTTAGGACGTCCTCCTCCTCGACGCCTCTTGTCTCCCAGTCATGTCCAGGTCCAGTCGGAGGTACAAGTCTCTGCAGCAGAGCAACAACGGCGGCGGCTCTCTCCTCGGATGTGACCGGGTGCGGATGCCCCGGGCGCGGGTGCTGCTGCTCTGCCTCCTCGGGGCTCTGGTGCTGGCGGTGGTTCTGGGAGTCTACCTGTCAAACGACACCGCCGACGGACACGTGAACCGCGTGCCCACCGCAGATCTGACCAAAGACCGGGTAAGAGTAGTGACGGACACGTAGACACAGACTCTAAAACTGTACCTGTCTGTTGTGGGAGCTGTCACTGAAATATAATAGAGTCACAACCAGAGTGTGACGTCTCTGAGTAACCAGATATGAGACGTGTCAGTGGGACAAAGCTGAGCTGTGAGCCTCACATTCCACTTTGTTTAAATCCATCCAGCTACTTAAACCTGGAGCTGATCACATGTCTACTGGTGCAAATGGTAGTCTATTAATTCATGTATTAGGCGATGGACAGAACAGTAATCAATGAATAGTTTAAGGCATATTTTAAACAAAAATGCCAAATATGTTCTGATTCGCTACTTATCTGTCATGTGATACTCGTGTGTAAAGACCCTCCAGACATGTTGTGCTGTGTCTGATGTTTTTACCACAAAGTCATGTTCCCTCTCACTGAAAAATCTATGAATATGCAAATATTGTTCATTTCAAAACGTTATACTGCTGGGTATAAGAGGTTTCAAGTTTCCACATCACACCTGTGTTAGTTGCATATTGAACCACGATTAGCTTCAAAACAGGTTGTGATGTCTAAATGCAGACCTGTGTTAAACTCAGATTTAAGGGGAGCACGAATACACTTTCCCCCTTCAGCTGATGCATTTTAAACAGCCTTCTGGTGCAACATTTTGCTTGCCCTTCAGTCTGATACCATTGTCTGGAACACTAAATTGTGATTTAAACCATTATTCATTTCTATCATTTTCTGTGCAAAACAATGAATTGAGAAAGTAATCTGCAGATGAATTGATAATGAAAGTAGTCATTACAACATCTTGTGCTTGATGTCGTTCATCTCTTCATTGTTATCCCATACTTTTCACTATATTTTATTTGTATCATCCAAATCCAAAATTTGCCTCAAAGGACTTTAGACCCTCAGTTCAAATAAGGAAAATGGCACAACAATAACCTTCTATTGGGAAAATAACAGGAAGAAACTTCAGGGAGAGCAAAGAAGCCTCTTCTCCAGGATGGACAGATGTGGAGAGATGTCTTATAATTAGATGACAGCTATTAGCTGCTGCCAAGCATTTGTCAGACCTGGACCACAAAACCTCTTCTGTACCACAACAACCTGGACAGAGTTCAGATTCTTACTTTTTTTTTTTTTTCCTTGCTTTTTATCTTCCCACATGTGCTTATTAATCATTAATCTTAATCTCCCGTCCATCCAGTTGGCCCACAAACCCAGCAAGTGCTCTCCGGCTCAAATCCACCGTCTGGCCTCTCAGGTGGACGGTACCCGCCTGTGGGAGACCCACCTGAGGCCCATCCTGATAGAGAGGCTCCCAGGGTCACAGGGCAGCCTGGCTGTACAGCAGGTGTGTAGATATTTATAGTTTCTTCCTCTTCACACATTGTCCTCACTCGTCTTTAATCCGCCCTCCCTGCTCCGCTTCAGCACATCACCTCCACTCTGTCTTCGCTGTCCGCTGGCTGGGCCGTAGACTTGGACTCCTTCCAGTCTTCGACTCCTCGTGGCCAGGTCACCTTCACCAACATCGTCGCCACTCTGGATCCTTCGGCCCCACGCAGGCTGCTCCTGGCCTGCCACTACGACTCCAAGGCCCTGCCTCCAGACCCCCGGGCCCCAGAGAAGGTGTTTCTGGGGGCCAGTGACTCGGCAGTGCCGTGTGCTATGATCCTGGAGCTTGTCACCTCTCTGGATGCCCAGCTTCTATCGTTCAAACAGCAGGTCTGTGCTCAGTCGTGTTTTGTTACACGTGTGTTGATGTCCTGGCGGTTTGCAGTAGTTGCACTTTAGAGATGCACATGTTGACAGATTAGCTCCCTACTTCCTAATCTTTCCTATGACAAAGAGAAAAAGAGATGCTAACATCGATGCTAATCTCTTCTTTTTTTGATTCTTCTTCTTATGTGACTCATTTGTTCCCTCTGGCTCTGTGGCTGCAGTGTAGGATAAGAAATGCTGAGTCCAGCTCCTTGTTTTCTTTGCAGCAGTCATCTGTAAATAGCAGTATCCCTCCTGAGGCTGTGATTTATGTAGTTACTGGAAGAATACACACTGCCACATCACTGCAGGAAGACAAACAAACAGGCCTCAGATGCTGCTTCTTTTTTTTTTTTTTTTTTAAATGCATTTTAATTTCTTTCTTCCCTTTTTCCTCCTCAGAAACTCCCAGTGTCTCTTCAGCTGGTGTTTTTTGATGGGGAGGAGTCCTTTGAAGAGTGGACCGCCACAGACTCGCTCTACGGCTCCCGTCACCTGGCTGAGCAGATGGCCAGCACGCCTCACCCTGCCGGCGCCACACAAGCCACCATGCTTCAGGCTGTGGTGAGGAAACAAAAATCCTGATCCAGAGACACTCTAAATGATGTATGAGCAGGCTGAACTTAGCAGACTGCCCAAACATATTCCATTTTAAACTTAACAACAGACAGCAGGTCTGTCATTTCTGTATGGACTGACCCTCCTACTAAATATATGAAAATACTTCTCCTGTCATGTCCCCTCTTACATCTCAGCAACATGTAGGGCTGTATGTATGACTTTGCACTTTCTCTCCAGGACCTTTTTGTGCTGCTAGACCTGCTCGGGGGTCCTGATCCACTGATTGCTAATCACTTTGATAACACGGCGCGCTGGTTTGACCGTCTGATCGCTGCAGGTAAGCGCTGGCCGTAACGTTTTTCATGAATATTTAAAATCCCCCTCTCTGTTCGTGTGCCCTAACTCTGCCTTCACCCCTCCTCGCTCTCAGAGAAGAGACTCCATCGACAGGGTCTTTTGACGTCTCACCCCTCAGAGCAGACGTATTTTAGGAAGGATGTGTACCTCGGACCTGTGCAGGACGACCACATCCCCTTCCTTCACAGAGGTGTGTGACACACAGACAAGCTTAAGAAACATACTGCATGATGTAAGTATATAACACATGCTGCTAGTCATCATCACTATCTCCCCTCCACACATATAGGTGTCCCTGTGCTACACGTCATCGCCACTCCCTTCCCACAGTTCTGGCACACGCTGGACGACACAGAGGAGAACCTGCACCGTCCCACCGTGGTGAACCTGACCAAGATCATGGCTGTGTTTCTGGCAGAATATCTGGGCTTCTGAACACAAAACACTGACAAACATTGGAGTGAAGGTGCCTCACTTTTTACCCCGTCCTGGAGTGCTCGTGCTATTTGTCACTGATGACAGATAGTTGCTAAATGACCAGCGTAAATTGGACCAGCTACCAGCTAAAACTTTACCAAAGACTTGGCCCTGCTGGACTGTCCAGACTCCTTGGTTTCTCGTGAGAGATGAGTTGAAGACATCTGTTTAAATGTCGGGGGATGCGATGTGGATTGAAAGTCTTAATTCAAATGTTAATAGTTCTTGTATCACGGTACCGGAGCAACAGTTTGGAAAGTTAAGTCTGTGAATTCAAACACACTCTATTTGTTATTGAGGTTTTTTTTTGCTTCATTCCTGTGAAAAATTAAGCAAAAAAACATTAACATTTATTTCCCCCATTAGTACGATTGAGATGCACTAATGTCTTCTTGAAGACAGACTTTGTGATGAGTTGAGGTCTCTCTGCTGTAAACACTCGTTCATATCTGTGAATAATTCTTTACCTTCACCTGACCGAGGATCCTCTTGGCCTTACAACCCACTGTTATTAATTCTAGCTATATTATATGGCTATACTGCACATTTTGTGCCAGTTTAATGATGCTATTATAGTGAAAATCCAACAACTTTTCATTTACACCCTGTAAAAGGTGTACTGAAAAGTCTGCAATAAAGTTTTGAGTTTCTGTTAGAATTTGATGCAATTTTGGGACGTCAAAAACACTGGAAATTGCGGTTACTAGAAAATATTAGTACATCCAGGAACATTTTCCCGGTATAGTCCCAAACTCAGCTCCCCTTTGACAAGTCAAAGAAGAAGTTTTGTTAACAAACATTACTTGCAAAGTATCTTTACATTCAAAAAGGAGTGAAACAGTTTTTTAATGTTGTACTAATCAAAAAGAAACAACCAAGTAATAGAAGTCACAAATTCAACATTTGAAAGGCATGCTCAATGGAGGCCTCTACACATGTGAAGTAGAGGACGTGGTGGGTGAGAGAGGGGTGGAGGTGGAGGGCAGTGGTACAGCGGATGGGGGCTTCCTGGAGGTGAAAAGTCGTTGTCAGAGGAAGGATGGACTTCGGCTGAGGTTCCTCCAGAGTTTGATATTAGGAAACTGAATGAAGAGATGATGAGCGTCAGAAAACTGCACCTGATCATGTCTTACATTACACTGTTAAATCTTTTGTCATGTCTTAAATTGACCACAAGAGGGTACTGCTCTACTATGTAAAATTAGACAAATGACATGTGTGGCACAAAGTTAAAAATGACTTCAATTAGTTTTTTTACATGATTTCAGATTGCTCTAGTTTGGTTCTGTTGTAAATGCTTTGCAGATGTTCATGTTGCATTAAAACAAAACAAAAACATTTCTACTTTCACAGTCTCAAACTGGAAGACGACAATGACAAGAAAAACAACAATCATTAACAGACCACTAAGGTCCGTGCTTGAAATTTTATAATTCTCAAAAGTTTATTAAAATGTATTTCTGTTTTAATATTAATATTTCCGTTGGATCACCAGAAAATGAAGATAAGTTATCTTCCTCTAATTCAGCTGAGAAAACAAACGTCTGATCTGATAATCGGGTCTCAATCATTTGTCACAGCACTCTGCGGTCAACCAACTCTGTGGATCTAATAGATTTATTTTAATCAATTTAACGTAAACTTCATGCCTTTAAATAAGTATCTATATGTGAATTAATTAATTATAATTAAGTTAAATATATGTTCATGGCGCTAGACAGTGGCGGACCTAGGCTGACTGACGGGCAGGGGCGGCATTTTATAGCATGTAGGGCACCCTATGACACTGCATTATGTTTTCTCCATTTAAGGGCACCCGTTACCAATGAGCTTTACTAGCTATTAATGCTTCTATCCTGTTGGAAAGTCATGTTATCCTTTTTTTGTTTTTGAAATTAACTTGCACGCAGAAAAGCATTCAACTAGTAAAATTAGACCTATCCCCCATGAGCGACCTGCTGCCCCTTCACTGACCCGTTAACGTCCGTGGTTCGATCCCTCTGCCTGCGGTTCTTGAACCAGTTGCTGACCTGCGTGGTTGTGAGGCCGGTGGCCCCCGCCAGCTCCCGCTTCTCCCGTGTAGAGGGATAAGGATTATGGCGGTACCACTTGCGGAGTATACTCCGGGATTTCTCCTGTTGGTATATTGAATAAATAAAGTCAGGCCTGAACAATACTAAAACACAAAGTCATTCAAAGAATTAGAATAGCTGTATCGCACCTTTTCTAGTAGCTAATCCTAACTATTTGAAGTAGGTTCTGCCATTCAACATTTATTCATGATGGATTGTTATTTAATATTTAATTTGAAGTTAAACGGTGGCCAAAGCCCTTCAAGCTAACAGTTTCCACCATTGTTACTTCCCTGATGTTGGGAAAAGTATTCAAATAAGGTGCTAAAGTGGAAATAGTCCTGCATTCAACATTGTATAGAAGTGAAGTTTCACCAGCAAAATATAATCCAAGTATCACAAGTAAAAGAATATAATATATATGTATAGCTGTACATATAGATATGTATATACCTTGAAACAGTAGCTGGTCTCCTCCCCGTCCCAGATGGTGTGTGGTAGAGGAAACTTCCTCCTTACCCGATACTTCCCCACAGCTCCCAGCGGTCGGCCCCTCTGCCTCTCGGCCTCCATGTAGTGGGCTCTAAGCCAGAGCTGCTGCAGGAGCGGGTGGCTACGCGGGGAGAAGGGGAAGCCCTCCAGCAGGGTGTAGAGGTCAGTGAAGAGGCCCTGGTGGAAGGCCACAGCGGCTTTAGCCTTCAGCACACTCTCCTGCTCCCCAGGGCAAGGAGAGGAGGAGGAGGAGGAGGAGGAGGAGGAGAGGGAAGGAGGAGGAGGAGGAGGAGGAGGAGGAAGAGGAAGAGTGCGGAGGAAGCCAGCAAGGCGATCCATGCAACCGCTCTGCAGGAGGACCTCGCACACACAAGCCACCTGCTCTGGTGTGAAGATCATTGCTGTGGAAACAGGATGGCTGCCCTCAAAGCCCAGAGATGTAAGTTGAGCCAAAGTCTGTCTTCTAACAACCTCTCTTAAGTCTGTACAGGAGCGAGCTGAAGCCTCTGTGGAGCATTGTGGCTTGTCTGCAGATGAACAAGTGAACGTGCATGTGTGTTTATTATCATGCCCAGGCAGAATTGAATCACAGGTAACCTGAGACCATCAGGGTTACAACAACACACCATACACCCCTCCTTTCTCTTGTACAAACACCCTCACACACATTTGGATTTGCTATTGTACTGCCATTCACCCAGAGAGAGTATGATGGTTTTGCAATGTAGAAAGAAAACGCATTTGAATAACATTTTCCTGCCAAATTAGAAGCATAATCCTCGGACAAATAGTTTTAGTGCAAACGATACTTAACCGTTCCCAACAGTCGTAACAAAAGCCGAAACCGCTTCGGTAAATGTAGTTTATTGCAATATTATGAAATATAAAAAATAGAATGCATTTGAATACAAAAATGAGAAAACAAGAAGCTTGAATGACAGACACAAACGTTCCCTTTCACAAATATCAAAAAGTCGATCAGAATACATTATATTTGGTTAAATCTGGAGTTGTATGTGTGTCCGGTAGCAGAGAGCATAAACGTATCCCAGGCTACAAACAAACGGGTACAAATGTGCATACGCCCATTGAGGCTTTAATGTCAACATACTTTGGTAAGAAATGGCTCATATAAACAAATGCAGGCTACCATATTCCACATTTCCCTTTACCCCTAACTATTCATTTAAATTTCAGACTGAAACTGATTTGTCCAAGCCATTCAATAATCTGCTCAAAGGCCACTGGGAACAAATGGCCTTAACATTAATTAACAGGGGGCGACCTACTGTATTTGTAAATGACCATCAAAATGACTTCAATACATGCAAGTCTAAGATTGTAAAACCTCAGTTTGCACAACAATGTGACCTTCCAAGTCAAAATGAATATCATTTCCTATCTGCATTTTCTCACAAGGACTCACTTTCTTACTGATTGATACATGCTTTAAATAGATTAAATGTACAAAAAAGACAAACAATTGTGTACCATAATTAGCCAAAGGTCTGACCGCTACCTGCGTTATGACAGTGGAACGCTTTAACGATGATAAGCATTATTAAGGTTTTAATGGAAGGAGCTGTTCCAATCAATTTACAACAGATTTCATCAGGAGATCAGTATCTGGATGATTAAGGTCCAATTTAAAAAAAGATATTTCAGAGGAGAATATGAGTCCAACCACTGTCATAACAACACAGCAGCGCAGTAAACATCGTATGAATGAAAGGTGCAACATATACAAATAGATGCGATCGGGCTATGACTATGCAACAAAATCTGTCACATTATATTTCACTGGCGATCAAACAGACAAACAAATGTGGATATTCAAATAAGTCCATGACGTGAATCCCAAACTTTGGTTGTGTATAGCATTTGTAAAACTGTGTAAAAAGTCGAAACATTTTTATCAAAAACATCAAACCTGTAGGCTTTAAAATAAGGCACTTATCAATATCAACAAACAAAGATTTTGGATGCATTTGACAACAAATATCACGAAGTGGGATCACAGCAAATGCTTTAGTGTCATGCTTCATTTAAAAGTTCAGTATTTAAAAGCTTCTTATTTTTTTTTTCATCTCCCAAGAGTACTGGCTTATCAACTCTGCCCCTGTGCCACAAAGTGTCCTATCAAGAACTAAACATGCATTGCATAGAGTGTAGACCTTTTTATTTCCTGTGTTGTATTCTTACTAATGGTGAGCAGCATTCTCACTTGAAAACTGCAGAAAGTCATTTAAAACAGTTCACTGATCAAATAATGTTTCAGCTTAGACTTCAGTAACCTGTGGTAATAAAATACTGCTGCATAGCCCTTGAAGCTACGACGTACTAATGGTTCCACATAAAACTCAACCGACTAAACTCAGTTCCCTTTGTGAAGAATATAATCCTCACTTCATTCCTGGAGTGTTTCCTGGTAGAATGAGTCCTGAATCTCTGCGCTCTGGACAGACAGGCCAAGCTCAACTATTTCTAGATTCATGCCTTTGCCAGACAGCGCCGCGGTGTGTAGTTACTGTGGTCGATCCACAAAGAACTTCTTCTCTTGCCAGCAAAAAAAACAGACATCTTTCCCAAGTACAGCTGAACTTGGCCTGTCGTCCACAAAACTGCGAAGAAGAGCTGAGAGAGTAGACAAAGCCATAACGCCTTGCATAGTGTAGTCTTTTCTTTTTTAACACACAGGACTTGTAACTGGGCCAATCTGTGTTAGTTCTTCTGTCTGCATCTGATGAAACACATAAGGCACGTACAGATTTTAGTAAAAAAAAACAAAAAACTGAAACGCACGAGAACATCCCATGTAACCCTACCCATCTATGTGAAATAAAGCTGCTGAGGTTTGATCTCAAAAGTGCCAGCTGAGACCGTGACGGTACCAGGCCCTACCGAGTGTGCGTCATCGTTGTACATGTCAGAACCTGAACATTTTGTAAAAAAACATTTGGCTCTTAGAAGTTTGACAGCGTGGAATAAAAATCTGTCCGACGGCAGATTCTGCAACCTACTGCGTTGTTTCATTGTTTTTGTTTTTAGAGACACTGGGTTGCCGACCAGCCGGGTAAACGGACTACAAGCCGAGGTCATCATCCACGGGGACTGACTGGAGCTGAGTGAGAATCTTGGAGTCCCCGTCCATGTCCTCTGGATTCCCCAGTGCCGAGTTGGCGTCCACATCCTGCTCCGGCGAGGGGCTTCCCAGAAGCAGCGACTCTCCTCCAGGTAGGCCTAACAAAGCCGGGTCCACAGTTAGGTCCCCCTTGCCGCGGACATCAAACAAAGTTAGACTCGCCGAAGTGGAGAGGGGCACAGGGCTCCAGGTTGGCTGGGACAACTGGGTGTTGGGTGTCACCCCACTGTACATGGGACTGAGGGTAAGCAGACTTTCTGGAGTGAGAGAGTTTAGCATTGTAGGGGTGACTGAATGTTCCAGCCCCGGAGGGGAGAGGACGGCAGGTGTCCCCGTCTCCAGAGCACAGTACGGTGGAGACGAGTTGATGAAGTTTAGGGGACATGATGCGAGGCCACTGGGGGTCGGCCCTGAGGTGGTTGAGACTACAGGAGGGGCGGAGGAGGTGAGAAGGTGACTCAGTCCATTAGCAGAGATGGGTAAAGCATCAGGGACTGGTTTCAGGGGCAAGCTGGTGAGTTGAATGCCGGCTGGGATGGTCAGAATCAGCTTGCCTTGCTGGACGCTCAGGTAGGGGCCTCCACCGAGGAGAAGGTTACCTACGGTGGCGATGAAGGAAAAATACACGGCGATCAAGACTGAGTTACAACATTCAAACAAGAGGCACACCAGTATGAGATGCAGAGTGGAGGCAGCAGATTCATTTACAGACCAGTACTTATTATAACGTGTGTTCTAGATTAAAGAAAATCAGGCATTAATACTATTCTGTCTCTGTATTCTGTTTATTTGTGTTTTTTTTAATGAATGCTGTGTGTATTACAATCATTTTTTTCCCTTAACTTTCTAGTTACAGATGCTCTATTGTTTATTGTCAGAGCTTTTTTTATACATTTTTGAGGAATTGTTTCTTAAGTGTTGCAATGTTATGCATGAATTAGCCTACTGTACTAGTAAACATTCATATTTTACAGCTCAAACTATCAGTGGATTAATCCATTGCCAGATAATCTTTTGGCAACTATTTTGACAATAATCAAGTTATTGTTATATTTTCTTGTGAGGGTTTTCTGCCCCTCTTTGTTTAATCTGAAACTAAACTGAGTGTATGTGTAGGTATTTGACTGAAACAAATAACATGACTACCATGGGCATACAAACTTTGAAGGGCATTTTTGTTCGCTTTTAAGACATTTTATCGACCAAAAATTGTTTTATTGAGAAAAGAATCATCAGATTCATAAATAATAAAAACTGTTGTTAGTCCCATTCCTAGAGTAGATCATCCCATTGTGGACTATTGGTAATTTAGTAATTACTTGTATCAAGTGACTCTGCATCCCAGAGCCCAAATTTGTGTCTTCTTGCTTGTTTCATGTGTCCAGATATTCAATTTAATGTTGCATATGATTACGAAAATCCTCACTTTTAAAAAGGCTGGAAGCAGTAAATGTTTGTCCCCAATTTTGCTAGAAAATGCAATAAACTACTTAATCAATTCCCCGTTGGTGGACTAATCGTTTCAGCTCCGCTTGCTACATTCATACACAAATATCTAATGAATTCAGTTTACCTGGAGGAGCAGAGGGCAGCTGAATGATCCCAGAGTTGAGGAGCTGCACACTGGGGGCCGCAATGCTTTGGGGACCCACACTCTGAATGGGCCTCAACTGGTTTATTCTGAGAGGACCCTGTGCGACCCCTGCAGGAGCTGAAGTCAGGATCTGTAAGGGCACTCCAGCCGAGGGGATGGAGAGAGAAGGACTGGCAGGTACCACTTGGGGGAAAGAGATGGTGGAGGAAGTTTGGATGGGGGAGATGGGGACCAGCTGAGGCATGGAGAGGGGGACTAACTGTGCTGGTGTGGTGCCTTTGGTCTGGGGGACTGGGAATACTTGTGTCGGGGAGGAGATGGAAATAACCTGTGGGACCTGGATTTTGCTGGGTGTGCAGTTTGTGCTTTGGTCCCCCAGCTGGTGTACCGTTCGCTGTGGGAGCTGACTGTTGTTGAGCTGTGAGATAGAGACTATGGTTGTAGCACCTTCAGGCAAAGTTGTTAAGGCATCCTGCTGCTGTTGCACCAGTCTGGTGCTCGTGTTCAATGTCTGGTTTTGGAACTGAGGAGCTGGCGAGGTGAGGGAGGACACTGGGACCAACTGAGGGCATTGGGACACCTGGGCTCCTGAAGAGTGCTGGACCAGCTGGGAGACTGGTATACCCTGGATGGAAGGCACAACCTGGGGCAGAGAGAAGACCTGAGGGGCGGAGTTGCTGGAGTAAATGACAGAGCTAGAAGGGTTTAAGTGAGAGCCAGCTGTGGCGAAGACAATGTACTCCCCTTGTTGACTGGAGAGAGGCACAGAAGAACTGGAGATTAACATGCCTGCAGATGACATGGAGGCCGGGAGGGTGAGAGACTCCTGGCGTTGGGTGTTTTGTGTTAAGACTAGTGAGGGGAGCCTGGTTGGGGAGGACAGAGTCGGTGAGGAAGGGGATAAAGATAAAGATGAAGACGAAGATTCAGAGACACTGATGAAATCCATTGCATTGCCGCTGTCTGTTCTGGTTAGCAGAGGAAGAGAGATGATGGATGGAGGGTATGAGACTGATGTGGTGTTTGTGCTAAAAACAACGGCCGGAAGGCTGCTCGGCTTGGCCGAAAGCTCCGGCTGTGCCATAGAAACTGCTTGCTGCTGCTGCACACTGATACTAGGTTTGGTTATTACCTGAGCCCCGTTCAGTATCAGCGGAGAGTTGGTTGCAACAGGACTCAGCGTGACTGTCTGGCAATCGCCCAAGCTTAGCCCATTAATTATGACACCAGTACCGGTACTGGAGAGCAGGGAATTTCCATTAAGTAGTAACGACTGAGGCGCTGTGAGGAAGCCACCGGACCCGTTGAGGATGAGCTGGCCTCCCGCGCTACAGGGGACGGCAGAGAGAGAGATGATGGAAGCTGTGGAGCCAGCAGCCTCCTCTGGTTTATCAGGCGTGTCGTCCATGGGGCTCGACTCGTCCTCGGTGCTGTGGTTCCCATCAGACTCACTGGAATGAAGGAAAAACAAATGGTTCAAATAAAAGAGCAATCCGTGGGACTTAAGAGGGTTGGGCACGGGGCTTTACCTGTGCTCAACGAGAACACATGAACAAGAAAACAAACAGTATCTGTGCACTGGATTATAGCTCCCAAACTCCATTCGACTGAAAGGACAAGATATCAAATAAGCAGAGTCTTTATCAGACTGCATCTTGCATGATGGCATCTGGTTGTTCAACACCATTTTTGACTTTGGTTTTGGTCTGAGAATGTATTTCATTCACAGTCACAGTAGCAGAGTTTGAAATGGCTAGAATGTGTCGGAGGATATAAATTCACATTGTTGTAAGAAAGACTTTGAATTTGCATTTAGATTGCCGTAATATTGAAATGCTGACAAAAAAATGTAATTCACCCAAAGCATGTGATTTAGCCAAGTCTGGCTCATTTGCACTGTTTAAAACATGTCCCGTCTCGGGCAATTAAATTACTCAATAAATACTTTTTATCAGGCTATTTAAAGATGATGACATAAATACCACTTTCATGATAATGTCTGTTATGAGAGTCGGCAAAAAGATAAACTTAGGAAACTTTGTAAATCTCTTCTATTTGAAACGCAACACCTGGGGAATGTACACAATAAGTACTTATTTTTTGCAGATGTTTAAATTCAAATCAATAATTAGTTTTTCAGTGGCTAATTGTGGTAAACTGGTGAAGATACCAACTTATTATTATTATTATTATTATTTTAACCCTTACCATCTTATCTACAAAACCTTCCATACACAGCAGTGGATCAATATAAACTCTCAGAAGACAAAGCTAGATCAGATTCCTAGAAGCTCCTTTAGGTCGTCTCCCTGGTTAATGTGTGTTACAATGTGTAGCAGCCTGGTCAACCGTACACATTGTTTGTGATCCAGACCACCACAAACCCGATAAGATAGGTTTGCTGTATCGCTCTTATCTCATCACAACTTGCCCCCCCACCCCAATTTGGTGAAATAGTAGCTGTAAAAAAAAACCAACTTTAAGATAAACCCCCCCCCTCTTTTGTATTTATTTTTCACCACCGTCTCTAGTGGGAACGTTGACTGTGACCTCGGTCACCCTGCAGGCCCTAGCCAGCGGTGCAGGGTTTCAGGAAACTTGAGCCACGGTGGGCGCCTGGATCTCACATTTCATAACAAAGCAACACGCTCCTCTCAGACCTGTGTGGCTTTCCGCTGTCAAAAGGACAGCTCCCCTGTCCGTCTTCTTAATTGATGCAATGTTTAGTTTAGTTGTTAGTTGCTGTTCTTTTACTTTGGAGTTTAATGTGTGTCCACATACTCTTTCTATGCTGCACCGTGTAGGCCTGTAGGTCTTTGTTTACCATGAAGGTTTGGTCTGGTTTCAGTGACTGTTCAGACCGGTATTGTTAATGTCATAAAACACAATACAAAGTAACGAGGCGCTTTCACTTAATCAAAGGCTCGTTCAAGACAGACTTTTGGTTTCCCCTAACTCGCTACATAAAGACTCGATACATAAATGTGTTTCCAGTGTTGTCGGTCTTGCCTTTTGCTGTGGGTCCCGGACGGGGTCCTGTCCCTCTGCCTGCGGTTCTTGAACCAGTTGCTGACCTGCGTGAGGGACAGTCCGGTGACTTTGGCCAGGTTCTTCTTCTCGTCCGGAGTCGGGTACCTGTTGCTCTTGTAGCACTCTTTCAGGGCATTTCGGGATTTCTCTTTGAAGCAGTATACGGTCTCCTCTCCGTCCCAGATGGTTTTGGGCAGGGGGAACTTCTTCCTGAGCCGGTACTTGTCCACTGCGCCCAGGCTGCGGCCCCGGGACCTCTCCGCCTCCTTGTAGCGGGCGTTCAGGTACAGGTCCTGCAGGAACCCATGGTTAGACGGGTGGAAGTCGTAGCTCTCCAGGATGACGTACAGCTCCTTGAATTCTTCCCGGTGGAAAGCCACCAGTGCCTGGGCCTTCAGCAGGGTCTCGTTGCCACGTAGCAGCTCGGACGAAGGAGGTATGGTGGATAGAAATCTCCACAGGCGATCCACATTGCCCGCCTGCAGAAGGGCCTCGCAGAGACATGATACTTGGTCGATGGAAAAACTCAAAGCCGACTTTTGGAAACTTTGGAGTAATCGTTCCGAAATTTGCACCGGATCTTCCTCTTCTTTGCACTCCGTTGCCGTTGGCTCCTCTGGGCTGTTCTCAGATTGTTCTGTAGACTCCAAAGACAAGGAAGCCATTTTTACTTTAACTTTTTTTTTCCTCCCGCAGTTCCTCCTCTCTTTCTCCCTCCCTCTCTCCCATTCTCCGCCAGTCGACCAAACCATGAATGTGCCTGCAAGCTACCAGCGGCCCCGCCCCTTTCCTACCCTATAATGTAGTGTCTTTGTTTCAAAGTGTCTTTGTGACAGAAGATTATGCGCATCATATTATATTTCTGGACTAACTTATTACTGTGTAGCTCCAGCACTACCAATGCTTTTCTTATTGACGCTTCTCACATGTGCGGTTGTGTAAAACCATAATATGAAATTTCACAAACATCTGGCTGATGTGGATGATGGTATAGAGATCTTTCACTCTTTCACTACAAGCAAAAGTCCTGCATATTCATGATACTTATTACTTACTGGTTACTTAAATAAAACTACACACGTCAACATGTACAGAGCGGAGCCAATTAACTATTTTTGATAACCAATTCATCTTTTCAGTCACATTTCATGCTAAAAACCTTTTTTAAATGTGATAATTTGCTGCTTATCTCTGTCATATGTCATAGTAACTACAACTGGAAATCTTGTGTCAATAAAACATGAAGCCACCTCTGGGAAATTATTAATCATTTCCTGACATTGCCAAAACAATGATTATTCAACTAGTTGAGAAAATAATCGACTGATTCATTGATAATTAAAATGTTTAATTGCAGCCCTAAGTAAAAGTAACAATTAGGTGGAATGGTCCCTGTCGGATTGGTATAGTATTGATTACTAGTGCATTACTGTGTAGTCAGCATTTTAATGCTGTAGCTTGTGGAGGTGATAAACCGCATGCTTGACCTGTCTGCTCTCCTTTTCTTGGCTTTTTGTCAGATTACTTCCCTTATACTTGTAATGTAATGTGAATTTATGTTGTCACGTGTTAACTTGTGCTGTGTTATTTTTTTATCATTGATTAGTCTGCTGACTATTTTTCTGATTAGTTGATGTATCGTCTGTATAATGTTGTAAATAAGTAAAAAATGTTCATCACAAGTTGCCAGAGCTGGAACCAGTGAATAATTGTTGATGGCAGTGTGCACTTTTTGATAATTTACTCTACATTTGTTTATTTTTGATAGCACTCTAAGATTATATATGTAGCCAGACAGAGGTACCCTTTATGATTAATAAGAATTACTATGGTTCTTTTTAATGGCAAATGTCTAGATTCCTATAAAATACATGCACAGTTAAGAAAGTGCGCTCCGACAGCTTCTATCCAACCAGTACAAGAGTGTGTGTGTCTGAGATGGTAAATTCAGACCGGAAGAGTTGCCCAAATTTCCTAACATGCACCAGCATTAACCTAACACCCTAGAACAATCTGTGCATTTTCAGGAGCTTCACATCAAACAGTTTAATGAATGTATACAATTTCAGAATAAGGCCTTTGTAAGACAGTGTGGTTGTTCAGGTAAGTTTATTCTTGTCATCCCAGTTGTCCAACCGGATCCCAGGGTTTGGTGTGCTTGAGGTCGGTTACTAATGTAAATAGTGTCAGTAAACACACACACACAACTAAGTCTAAAAGGAGAGCGCATCCTGGAACATCCATTGAGCCCACTTCAGTGAGTCAAATGCTAGTGGCAACGTCTCTCTGCAATGAATATATGAAACCAAAACTGTGATACGTCAGGTACATTAATTGTAGGTAAATTCAGAAAATAAATGGCTTACCTAAATTTTAGCTATTCGTTATTGTTATACAAACTGAAAGCTTTATATACACAGGTCCTAACCTGAAGCTCAGACATTAATGTGAAAACTGTGTCAGACAGAGAATTCGGCATGTTCTTAAGGATATACATACCACAAATATGTGAGCATGACCTGCAGATAAGTCATGCATGAGGCCGGTTTGTCTCCATCAACAACCATAGGAATGTAAATCTTCGCTGTGGGACCGTGGGCTTGTCTCAGCTCCACTCTGCTCCTCCCAGTCAAGTGTTTGGACGGAGCTCTCAGCTTTCATTGATCTCGTCTTGTCTGCCCGTACATGCTCTAGTCTGTTATCTGTGCTCATTGAATGCTTTGGTCCACTGAAATATGTCCACGATTAATGAAAAGGCCGGTTTTCCCGGCACAGAGATTGTTTCCTGATGTCAAAAATCAAACTGCAACAGAACAAAATAAGACATTTGTTTTGGAATGTGTAAATGCAGCATTTAGAAATGACAGGTTGAACTGATTATTCCTCAAGGAAATTGCGACAATAGGATTTCCTATACATTACACACAATATACTGTATTCTGTGCATTAGTGGCGTGTGCAAAAGCAGCTATTGTAGTGCAAAGGTACTACACAGAAGACAGGATTGTAATGGACCTGACCATGGTGTAGTCATTATAGAGCCTGGGATCAAGCTGCTTATTAGGTCAAACCTTGTCGGACTAAATCACAGTACAGTATTACCTTTTCCTATTACAGACTCGTCAACTTCCAAAAAATTGGCCATGTTGAATTTGTCATGTTTACAATAGTCCACAAAAAATAAACTTTGTTCAGTCTTTCTTCATCATGGTTTAAACTGGTGGGTAGCGCCACTGTGTGGTTGTTTCAATTGTCACATTCACTCTTAGATGATTGGTTTTCGATCGTGTCCATCTACCGGTAAGTAGGCGGTGACGCAGACCTTTTCACTTTGTAACGACACCCTATTGGTTGACTTGATTGTCACCTGATGTGATTGGTGCTTTTCGTGCCGGTGGGCGGGGCAGAAGGTTCCAGAGCTGGGCGTGACGGAAATTGATGTACGCCGCTAAACGTTGACGCCAGAGTGACTTGCACCATCTCCATTTTTAACGTAATAGTGTAAAGTTACATGGTGACACAAAGACGACAAGGTAGCGAGGAGGGGAACGAAGCTCTCCGAAAAATAATAACTGCTCAGCAGCCGTTTTATTGAAAATGGCTCCTGGGGCATATGACAGGGCAGAAAATAGTTCACTCTCCGTATTGCTTCACGTGAATTAACATATCTGAGACCATACAAATACCATAATGTAGTTGAATTTTATACTAGTCACAATATAAGGGTGTTTATTGCTTTCATAATTGCTAAGCTGATCAGTAATTATAGTAACGAGCTGTTTGTTCAATAACAGAACCACAGACTGCGTGTAAGAAGGGCGGGGCTTCTTGTATTAGAAAACAACGCGCGAGTCTGAGCGGTTGGTCCATTGGGGTGGACCACGTGCTTTTTGGAGTGGTGTCGCGAGGCGTCAGAACATCTTGCTGCGACTCCTCTGTTTTGAAAGGTGCGTACCGTGTCTGTTAATCCGCTTTGTCCTGATATAAAACACACGTAACGTTATTTTACAGGTAAGTGTGGCAGCCTGGTTCTACTACTAAGTGTTTGTGTCTCACGTGACTCAGCTGTTGTTAGCCACACAAACGGCTGACGGTGACGCAGCCTGCGGCTAACAGTTAGCTAATCCAAACATGCTAGCTAAACTACGAACATGTGGGATGAAATTCAAATGATAACGTGTGCAAACATGAGGGACAGATGGTAATTTACCAAGTTAAACATAACTATTATTAATTCACCAGAACGTGCTTTGTAACAGGCCGATGTTAGAGAAAGTAAGTTATAAGGGGAGCAGCTAAATACTACGTGGGAGTGGATGTTCATCCTCTTTATGTGGGTCTTCATTGTCCTCTTTATGTGAGTCTTCATTGTCCTTTCATTGAAATTAAATGATCAAACTTTACTCACTGTCGGGTAACGTTATTAATACTCTGTACCATGCAACAGGAGGACACAGGGATATTACCCATTTACTGTATTGGTGTGCAACTGTGGGATGTTGTATCAGTTTCACTGGCTAATATGGCGCATTGTTTGTCTATTGTTTTCAGTATCTGATCCCACAACCAGCATCATGGAAGGTTTGACAGTAGTGACCAACCCCACAGTGAATGTGCGCATAACAAACACCATCTCCTCCTTCGAGATGACGCGCAGGTTCAATAGAGGAATTAGTATAGCAGAACTAAAGGTGAGGCTCAGTCTATCATACAGTATACTCCTCAAAAGATGCATTGGCTCTACTAATGCACTCATTTTGTTTGTATTGTAAATAGGGAAAATTGGAGATGCTTGTGGGTGCATCTCCCGCCTCCATGGACCTGGAATTGTTCAGCGTCTCTGACATATTCCTGCAGAAAATGGATGACAATGAAGCTTTGCTGGGTTCCTATTCTGTGGATGATAACTGCAGAATACATGTATGTAGCTACTCGGTTCAGACGCTCTTTTAATATAGTGGCCCAGACCACCGTCGTATTGTAGTAATAAAAAGGTACAACAGGTTTTCAAATCGCTCTTTGGTTCCAAATCAAACACTGTCTTCAGATAAGATACTAGGCATTTTTTTTTAGCATATTTTCTTCTTTTGTAGAAATGCATGTTTCCCCAAGACATGTGCCTGGAAACTTCTCATTGTCTAAAGTTTGCAGTAAAACATGCAAACTGGTTTTAAAATGAGAACCCTGCTATGTAGGTAGTGGTTAATGGTAAATAGAATAATTATCATTTTCACTAGTGTTGACTAATGAGTACTTAAGTTTACTAACAAGTGTGAGTTTCTATTCAACAATAATGTAACATATCATTCATTACCTGCTTGTTTGAAGCTTTTTGCAGTTATTGGCTAAAACATGCCAAACTACTGGTGTGGACTTTATTAAAAGTTGTTTGTGTCTCATCCTGAATCACAGGTTATTGATAACAGTGGTCAGATTAACGAGTTCACTGATGTTTCCAAAGTGGAGAAGTTTGAACTACCAGATGACGCCTATGGAAAGAGACCAGGTAGTCTTTTTTTCTATGCTTTTGATGTTAAGTAAATACAATGTATTTCCCAAATGTCATGATGAAATGTGGCTGTGGCAGCAACAAAGGATAACATAGCAAAAATGAACCATTGACTTTAAACCAGTGGATTCTGACAATCATTTGTAAAGCAATCGCTAACGATACTTGATTGTTAGTTGCAGTCGTAGACAAAAAAAAGCCAATACCGCCACCCTACCACGGCTGAACTTTTTTAACCATTGACAAATGTTCTAAAAGAATCCTCTCATCTTATTTGATAGACGTTCTGCAGCATTCAGTCTGTAATATTTTTTTTTTTTACAATCCAACTTTCTTTCTTTCAGACTCAATGAGGTCGTTCATGAAGAAACAGGGTGTCGGTCAATTCAACGAGGAAGAACAGGCCAAGAAGAAAGCTGTCATTGCTGCTCGGAACGACGAGCAGAAGGCTGCTGCTGATGCTCTGTCTGTTGGCAACAGATGCAAAGTGCAGGTCCCTGGACAACCCACCAAGCTTGCCACGGTCATGTATGTTGGTAAGTGTGGATACATGTTAGCTGGTTTACTTCCTTTAGGACAGGTTTAGGTTTTTAGGCTTAAAAGCCCAGCTTTCAGGAGCATATTGGTGGAGGAATGATAACCCTTCTTAAACATCAGTGTTTTTGTTGCTTGCTCTAGAGAGCAATGCGATGGCTTGTACTTAACCACAATTATAGCATATTAACCTAAATTATGTCATCTCACTATATTCCAAAAAAAAAAAAATGAAGGATCTTGACTAAACAAGAGACATTAAGAGTAGTAGTACCTGGAGTAAAGAACAATGTTGTCATGTCCATTGCAGGTACAGCAGATTTCAAGCCAGGCCACTGGGTTGGAGTGAAGTACGATGAGCCTATGGGAAAGCACGATGGAACGTAAGTAGTTTCTATACAGCTATGCACAATGTTGGTCATGTTGGTCTTGATTTTGCATTTGACCCCCGTCTTTTATTGAATTGTGTTCCCACAGTGTTGCCGGGAAGAAATACTTTCAGTGCGAGAACAAATATGGTGGATTTGTGAAGCCGCTGAGTGTGATTGTGGGAGACTTTCCTGAGGAGGTTTATGATTTTGATGAGATGTAGGACTGTTATGTGACAAAATAAATTTAAGTGTGAATCTCAAGATGCTTCATTCACCAACCAGAGATTGTCATCGTACTTTCTCTCTCTCGAGGGTATAATCTCAAGAGTCAAAAACGTTTTTTTGGTTTAAGTTCCCTCTCACTAACGCTGATGCAACTGATAGATGTGAATGTCAGGCAGTACATCTCTGTGTGATGAATATGGTAATAGTTCAGGATGTTTACACCCAACATGGTTTGATAAAGGAGGGGTTGTGTTGCATAAAGGTTATATGTGGTTCTTCACTTCATGCACTTCTGTTCAGTGTAGTTTAGTACTTTTTGCTTCCACACATTCTCAACATGGCAGTCTTATATGTAATCTAAAAGTCTCTATTGACAGTTCAGATAACAACTTAATTTCTCCACATTTAATTTGTATCAGTTTTTTCAAACATGGTTGTGTATAACTCTATAGTTAACTGTAGTCTTAGGATTTTTTTGGAGAATATAAATTGCTGAGTTAGTGGTCAAAGGAAAAACACCCCCTTAATTACTTTGAAACTGAAAAAAGTGTGATTGTACGTTGTATTTCAGACTAACATGATATCGCATACCGATCAATGATCAACATCAGTGCTTAATGGTCAAACTCATTCCGCCAAATTGTGCTCATGTTTGACAGACAATAAATTGTTAAAAAAGAGGAAAGAACAATAAGTCTCCACCAAGATCTTTGTCCTTTTCATTCATTTTGTGCTTGTACTGTGTAAAACCCAATGTGTGTTTCCAAGTGGAAATAATATGTAATTCCCTTTAACTGACATGAGTTCCTCTTGTTAAACATTAAATAGTTTGCAGTTAAATGTTTCCTGCTTATATTGAACCACTGGGAATTGATTTGCCTTGACAGATGAGGCCCAATCTTACATATTTAAAATTTGAATGTGATTGAGAAAATCCAGTGTATTTCCTTAATATTAATTGAGCTCTCTTTTATATTTATTTATTTATATATATATATATATATATATATATATATATATATATATATATAAACAAACAAAATCCAAGGATGTGTCCAATAATTATAGAGTGTATAATTTCAAATGACCAGTAAAGTAGCTCTGGTACATCTTTCAATACTGTCCAACTGAATGGGATGTTAAATTCTGAAGCACATGTTTATGGTTCTGTTTAAAATGTTCTTATATATTTTGATTAAATAACAGGTTCGCTATCAAAGAAATATTTGAAAACACAAGCAAAAACTACGAAGACCACAACACTTTGCTTTTGAAAATGAATGCTATGCCTTATTTCTGCTTTGTTTTATGTTTCTGGTCCAATACTGTAACACCATTGCAACTGTAACATTGTTTTTCATCATCTGAAGTTTACAGAAGAAATACACATTAATTGTTCTTGTGGTTTCTTTTCAATGCAATGTCATTACTTGTAAAAATGTAGTGTTGTCTTTTGATTTTATATTAAAAACGGTTTCTTCTCAAAGGTGCTGGTGTTACTATGTGCCAAAGGGTAATTAATGCATGGCAATAAAAATGATTTGCCAGTACTGGAGCGTATGATTGAGTTGATGTTTCTTGTACATGTAATATGATACAGACCATTTGCAAATATGGGTTCTGTGATTTTAGTCGGTAATCGTAGAACTGTCTCTAATAATAAAGTAACAAATGTGTAGTGCAAGCATGCAAAACATCTTGAAGAAAAAGGCATTATGCACAATATTCATGGTACAGAAGTATTATCAGCAAAGTATACTTTAAATATCAAAAGTTAAACCACTCAAGAAGAATGGCAAATTTTCTGAGCGTTATTAACAATTTTCCTGATGAATTAACACGTAGGCAGCGTTTAATGTTGTAATTGGTTGAGCTTTACTACTGTGTAGTGTGTAAAACATGCAGTATTTGCCTCTGGAAAGCAGCACACAGCAGCATTTTATTAATACTAAAGTAATGTACTGGTCCCTCAAGATGTTACAGAAGTAAGGTGCTTTCTATCACTGCAAATTGTCGACTTCATACTAAAAGTATGTCTATGGAGGATGGCAGAGATTAAGAGAACAATGACAACTTGCTATTTAAATTTAATAAACACCAAATAGTATATAATCCTTTTTTAGTTTTCAGGAAGCTTCTATTTAGAAGAATGTGGAAGATGTATGACTAAGCACGGTGTTTCATGCCGTTTCATCAGCCACAAACAGCATCTTTTACAGTATTTATTAGCCTCACATTTTTTTTCATCACTCCCCCTGAAGACGCACGTCACTGCAATGACGCTACAAACTGTCCTCTCGCGAGACGGGAGCACAGTTTCCCAAGCAGCAGTGTGGTGTGTGTGTGCGCGATAGAGACAAGGAAAGATGGCGACGCAGGAGAGCGAAGCTACCAAAGCCATCGAGAGCAACGGCGAGGTAAAAAGAAAATTAATGACACTCTCATTATGTCACTTATTCTTCACGTCCACGCGAAGTGGGCCGTTTTTATCCATTGGAACGTTCGGTGTGGGGACCGTTAACATTCAAACGTGTTACCGACCGTTGCACGAGCCTCAGTGACGTTGTCAGTTGCCGGTTGGTTTTTAAAACGACCCCCTCCTGCCGTTAGCAGTGCGCTGAGAAACCCGGACTGTTAGCGACGTGAGAGAGGTGTTAACGGTTGAAAACTTAACATTACATAAAAGTCACATTAATATCGGTTGACTCATTGTGTGTCGGTGTGAGCCAGCTGACCGCTGCGGTGTGTCAATTAGCTATCACAAGGCCTGAGCAACGCAGCTCGGCGTGACTAACCAGGCCAGTCTCGAGCAGCTCGACCACATTATTATTTACTGTCAAACCGAGTCTTCCATTATTACAGTCTTTCCAGGGAAACGTTGAGGCTCGACGTACATTTTGTTTACGCCTCACGGGAAACCCCGGCAGCTGATCTTGATTAAAAATGTCAAATAAGATGAATCGGATGTAGATAGACAACGTCAAAATTGGCTTACTCTGGAATGTGCTCTCTTAAATTGTGAAAATAGTAGCTAGTTGTTAAAGTAACTGGGACAATATCCAGTTAACTACCAATTACTTCCGGAGTGACAAATGTCACAAGTCACCATTGGTCAAAGTGAATCATCTCTCTCATGGTCTCCGCTTAGTTTAAGTCTGTCTTTAGCCAAACAAACACAAAATTACACTATATATATATATATATATATATATATATATATATATTAAAATAATAATAATATACTGTGTCAAATGTCTGTTATCTTTACTCGTAAGACCAAGACAGACCAGTATTTTTTGTCTTTAGGAACCTTTTTATTGTTTTGTAACCCTAGCTCACACCTCATGTCATTGCATTGATTAAGCAATGACAAATCTCTGAGAACCTCAGAAATGCCCAGAAGGTTGTTAAACAACATTGGCTGTCTTTTTGAAGGTTTTTCCACATAGTTCTCTTACAACCATGTATTTTCCAGGGTTACATGTTGCTAAAACAATTTGGGGGATTTTGTACACATCACTATGGATTTATCTTCCAGAATAACCAAAGCTCTGTGATTTATTACGTTTAGATGAGTTATGTTGCTCTTTAGGCCAACTGCTGGAGAGTTGATCAGTTAAGAGACATTTCTGAGGTATTAATCAATGGAAAAGTGGCTAATGGTGATAATAATTTAATATTTCTGATGGTTACAGGTGTAACTGTATTGGTCCCAGCACAACACACATGATGAAGTCAGCATTTTCATGTCTAAAATATCATCCTTTTTCCTTGTACAAAATTTCCTTTTTTTTAAAGTGGTCTTTAATGTAATTAAATAAGCACAGATGGAAAGTTTAGTACAGATGGAAAGCCTTTTACTATACCAATTAACACACATTCAACAGACATGCCTTTGATATCCCTATTTATTGGCCTATGTTCAATATTGGCTTACTTCCCTCTGTAGGAGATACTGTCGCGTGTGATACATATCACCGGAGCAATCTCCACTTCTGTGAATGACTGACTGATTTATCTTTTCCTGTTAGACACACACTATCCAGTGTGAAGCATTTACTATGCACCCTGAATAGGTGGTTAATTGTTAATCCTTGGTCATTGTGTGTAAATTGTACATTATTATCTCGAGCTGGAACAGCTAACCTTGTTTCTCTTGTAGAGCATATATCGATGATCCATCTGTGTCACGGTTATTACGTTGATCCCTCCAGGAGACAGAGATCCTTGTCTCAGATAATATAATTGCTTCTACTGCAGGACATGGCATCGAGGATGAAGAGATCTATTCTGAGCCACTTCATGGCCTTGAAATTCGGTTTGTGATGGTGCTGGGCCAGTGGCTTGTCACAAATCTCAACATTTCCGATGTTCATTTAGTCATTTCTTGGCCCTCTTGGCACCTTAATAACCTGCTGAGCAGAAAATGTTTTTTTACCCTCAAGTGTTATTTCTTGAGGCCAGCCTCTGGTCTCCGTTGTGTTGGTGACAATGGGGGAGATTAGATGTTCAGATGGTGAATGAGTCTCATGACTTGGCATATGCTTGTGTATTGTGTCACTTGAATAGAATGTGGCCTTGCTGGAGGGGTTGGTGGGGGTGGAGGCTGTGGGGGGGCTACGTGGCCACGCTGAAGCAAACTAATGAAAGATTTTACTGATATTTAATATGCTAATATATATGCTAATACTTACATGATACAAAGGTTCTGTTAGGTCAGGAGATCATAGTAGTTAGCGATCCTTAGAAATAAAATATCTCAGCTTTAGGGCCTTTTAATATGTTGTCTTTATACATCCTCCTGTAATTTGTCATTATTTTAGCATTGCATCAAAAATGCTTTGTGTCGTCTTTGGCTGCACTGACCGTGTTTCTGTCTGGTTGCAGGTGAGCAGTAATGGGACCGCTGCAACAACGGATGGCCAGGCTGTGCAGACAGCTGAAAATGCAGTGGATCCTCAGCCGCAGCAGCAACCAGCACCTAATGCATGGCAGGTCATTAAAGGAGTCCTCTTCAGGTTAGTTCTTCTTCTTGTCTCTTTAATTTGTCCGGCTTGTCCTCCCTTTGTAAGCGGAGAGCACTGCTCATTGTTTGCGGTCCGATTAGCAACCTCTGATTCGAAACTGGTGTTGGAGTTGAGAGACGACAGGGTTGTTTCACAAGTAGCTAGTTTACAGGTACATTTTTAACCATTAAAAATCATTGTCAGACGACACTGGCTGGGTTCCCATCATGCCTTTTGGCCAAAGTGTTTTGTCTCTTTTGCTCTCCACACAGACTGTTTACCTGCATTTATCCAACGTCTGCTCGAGTGTCATAAGTCACGACTACTCTGACCTACAAATGGAAATCAGAACGCTTTCAATGCAAAAAATCTTGACTTGTGATTTGTGTAATGGACCGTTCAAAAAGTGTTCATTTCTGACTCTGGTGGATGAACAAAAGAAATGATACCCATCCCTAGTAATGAGTATTACCTGACTGTGGTGGATGTCAGTTGTCTAGTGTATGTAGATTGCAGTAACTTTCAGGGCGTTTTAACATTTTTCTAATCAGTTAATGTTGATATATCTTCCAAATGTACAGAACCACAGGGTTATTTTCCTCTAAAAATGCTCAAGCAAATCACAGCATGTGTGGAGGTGGTACCAGTTGAGTACTTGTATGGCATCCAGATCAAATAAAGCCCTTTGGTTGATTTTCCTGCCTTAGGCAAGCAGTTGCTTTGACAGTCAACCAGTGAACAAACATGTCAATTTATTTGATCAAAAAGATTATATTGCGTTATTAAGTTTGTCTGGCAGTGATTTAGCTTTTAAAATCTTTCATTAAGTAGATCAAGTGTTGGGTAGATTAAAGGTAACGATATCATGTGTAACAAATAATCAATCTTTATCAATTGTATTATATCGACAGAAAATGCATCATTTTAATGTATTTTTAACCGATACCAGCCAAAGAGGGAAGTATACATTGAACAAAGCCACAAGCACACAAAGGGTGGTTGAGAGTTCTTCAGATCTCAAGCTAAAAGGTCAAAACAAATGACTTTGTCTCAGGGTTTTTTACCTAGTATTTCTCTATTAACATACAAATGTGAGTATTCATCTAACTCATCACCTACTGCTCTCCTACGTTTCTTTTTTCTCTTAACTTTGACTTTCATCCCTTATTTACCAGCTCTTCTGACTCTGTTTTCACTTGTTTCTCCAGAATCTTCATAATCTGGGCGATCAGCAGCTGGTTCCGTCGTGGGCCTTCAACTCCAGACCCCAGCACTCCAGCCGGGGCCCCCAGAGTACCCAGCAGGAACCTGTTCCCCAAGGACACCCTCATGGTATTGCACTCGTCCCCTCTGTCCATTGCCTTTATGTACACGGCTAGTTGTTTTTAATTGAAGTGAAGCTGTTGTGACCTCTTGAAGTATTTAGAAAGCAAAACGGTGCTATAGCTTCCTTTCAGGCTTACTCTGTCATGACTCTTTTAATGTCATAAACACCTTTCTTACCGTGCTGCAGGACCTGTACGTGTATTTGTCCCAAGACGAGGTGTTCACCGACTTCAACAACACAGAAGCCCTGTTCTGGTTCCACAGGGACTTGGTCTACGGAGACTGGACCGTCGGGGAGGAAGGGGACGGCTGTTACGAGCACCATAAGGAGATAGACGTCCCAGAGGTGAGGATGACGGGGAGAGTGATACAATCTGAAGAGAGAGGCGACAGACAGTAGATGGATTGTGAGAGGGAACCGGTATTAGTTCAGGGTATGAGGTTGACGTTGGTGAGGAACAGGAAAGACGAGTTACTATGAACTCTAATACTTGTAATGTGTATTTGTCTGAAACTCTAATACTTGTTCCTGTTTGTGTACTTGCAGAATCTGCTGAAGAACGGTTCTCTTTACATGCACGTCTACTTCACTAAAAGTGGATTCCACCCCGACCCAAAACGCAAGGGGCAGTACCGCAGACTGGCAACAGTTCATTCAACACGCAGTAAGCACATATGGAGAACGCACAAAGTGTAAACTTTAAACAAAAATTGTAATAATAGAACAATATATTTAATCATTTCTAAGCGTTAACCTTTACTCGTTTATCTCTTTCAGTGCTGAATAAATTCAAGCGAAGAAAGTTTATGAAGACCAAGAATCTGCTAACGGGCGAGACAGAAGCAGATCCCGAAGTGATCAAGGTATTTTAGTTTTACTGAATACTTTCACGTAATACTTTGTACACCGTAGAGCTAGACCGATATATTCACCAGGCTAATATATCACTTAGCTTATTGCAGATATATCGCTGTCTGTGTGTGTGTGGGCTGGTCAAGAAACAAGAAATATCAGTCAAGAAATGTCAAACTAGATTTAAGGTATTTTAGAAGTGGTGTCACCGCTACATAGTTTGTTCAGCAGTGAGCATCTTCGTCACAATAACAAAACCAAAGATTGTTTATTTACGAAATATATTACTGTTTGTAGTATTTTTATTACCAGTATTTGAATCCAGTGTCTGTTAGTCCATAATATGTGTTTATCCTCATTTTATGACATACATCTTACAGAAACGCTTATTGTAGCTTATCTTGAGAAAGGCTGTGAGCAAAGACTATAAATACATTTAACAAAATGTAATTAGTTAAAATAGTCAGTAATAAGGTAAATCAACAAGTTGACTTTGTATTGGTCTTATCATCAATAGAAGATCTACTCTTCGTAGATGATGATGCAGCTCATCTCTGACATGTCAAATCAAATGTTTCTTCACAGCGAGCAGAGAGCCACGGTCCAGTGGAGATCATCTCTCATTGGCACCCCAACCTCACCATCAACATGGTGGACGACCACACTGCCTGGGTTAAGGGCTCTGTTCCCCCTCCCCTGGACCAACGTAAGCTCCTCCCACTCAGCCCTTTGCCATGTCTCACCTACAGCCGCTGTTTAAAGAGTTGTTCTTTTTCTGTCAAACCATCTTTGACTATTCCACTCTTCTACCACTAGATGTTAAGTTTGATGCGGTGAGTGGCGACTACTATCCCATTGTGTACTTCAATGACTACTGGAACCTTCAGAAGGACTACTTTCCCATCAACGACACCCTGACAACACTCCCACTGCGCCTCGGCTACTGCCCGCTGTCCTTGTGGCGCTGGCAGCTGTACGCTGCCCAAAATGCACGTTCACCGTGGAACTTCCTACCAGACGACACCTACGAGCAGTCGGACGAGGACCAAGACTCTGTCAAGGTAAGAGGTCAAAGGTCACAGGTCAGAGGCGGAAGGCTGAATAAAGGGAATTTCACTATATGTGATGAGATGGAACATGTTTTTTTGGTTCTTATACACAGGTTTAGTTGAAAATGCAATTTCTTTCATTTTTTCATATTAGCTGTATTTATAGTGCTTTTCTATTATCTTTTTATTTGTTTTCTAGCTGTGAGGCGGCAGCTAAATGTAACTTATATACTTTCTGATCAAACATAAAGATTCAGACTATGTTACACCTGTGATTTAAGATTAAACTCTGTTATAGGTGGCTCTTCTGGAAACCAACCCGTACCTGCTGGGAATCACCATTGTTGTGTCCATTGTGCACAGCATTTTTGAGTTTCTCGCCTTCAAGAATGGTGAGGTCACAGCAGCCCGTCTTTAGTGAAGACTTGTCACCAACGACACATAGACTGAACTGTGTTCGTCTACCACTCGGCTTCAACTCACCACCATCTCCTCCTCAGATATCCAGTTCTGGAACAGCAGACAGTCTCTGGAAGGCCTCTCCGTGCGCTCCATCACATTCGGAGTCTTTCAGTCTCTGGTGGTGCTGTTGTACATCCTGGACAACGAAACCAACTTCGTGGTGCAGGTCAGCGTCTTCATCGGCCTTCTTATTGACCTGTGGAAAATCACCAAGGTCATGGACGTCAAGGTAAGTCGGAGGATTGTGTTTTTTAATGCACAATATTGTTTTAACATTGTTTATTTCTATTTAAATTATGGAACAAAAAAAACGTTTCCTTTTGAGCCAGTGGCTCCTGTCCTTTAACAAATATTACAAATGTCACTGAGTTCATCTTCAACCAGAAAATTGATGGTTAACCAGTGAATGTTTCAGGATGATGTTTGAATGAGAACTAGCAGACTCCTCTACTAGACTGACTTCAGAAAGAGACCTTGATTTTCAAACTGTTCCTTTTGTTAATTCAAATGCTAACCTCCTGTACTTCTACTGTACATTCTCCTATTATTATTATTGCCATGTACCATTGTGTATATACCTATAAACTGTGTTTGTCTTTCTCTAGTTGGACAGAGAGAACAAAATTGCAGGAGTGTTGCCAAGATTGGTCTTCAAAGACAAGTCAACATATGTGCAGTCTTCAACCAAAATCTACGACGACGTAAGTAAAACCAAAACTACACAACTCTGAACACCGCAAGAGTGTTAGAAAAACAGCAAATAAGTAATCTTTTATATATGTAAATGTCATATTTCTTCTGATAACACGTTTTCCTATCTTGACCTGTGAGCAGATGGCTTTCAAGTACCTGTCGTGGCTGCTCTACCCTCTGTTTGGCTGCTATGCCGTCTACAGTCTGTTGTACGTAGAGCACAAAGGCTGGTACTCATGGGTACTCAGCATGCTCTATGGCTTCTTGTTAACCTTTGGTGAGTACGTCTGAAGCATTCACATACTTCACTCCACTAATTATCATTTTTGTCTTGTGTGTCCTTTCTGTTTTAGAGGAATATTTATATTTTACATGGTTTAAACACACATAAACGGGTCTTAATGTACTGTAACGGTAATACAAAAAACATCTTAGCTGAAAAAGGAGAAAATAAACTTGATGATTTATTTATGTGTGTGCCATGTAACTGCCCATGAATTAGGTAATGTATATGAAATGATGCAGGGAACACTCTTGTTCTTACCTATAAATCAAAATCTCCAATGTCTGTAGGTCTTCCAAACAGAAAAAGATCATAAAAATACAGTAAATACAGAAGTTTATAAGAATCTCTATCCCTGGAACTGTTGTATATTTATTTTCTTAATGTATTATTGAATTTACTTTATTGATTTTTTTTTCTCCTGTTTTTGTAAATCTATTTTCAGAGGCCAGAGATTTAGCTGATTATTCTATTGGTCTCTCTTAATTACCCCGTCTCTAAGTGGACGTACATGCAGCTAATGTTTTCACACTTGCATCATGGTTACATATCCAATTCCCAGCGGCCTCTGCTAATGTGCTGTGTATTAATAGACTTTACTTAGTCCCGTTGCTTGTTGTCTAATCCTTCCTATATCTGCTTTTTTTTTATTTTTATTTTTTTATTTTATTTTATTTTTTTTTTTTAAAAGGTTTCATTACAATGACGCCGCAGCTATTCATCAACTACAAAATGAAGTCTGTGGCCCACCTCCCATGGAGGATGCTCACCTACAAGGCTCTCAACACCTTTATCGACGACCTGTTTGCCTTCGTCATCAAGATGCCCATGATGTACAGGATAGGGTGCCTCAGAGACGGTACGTCTTCCCTTATCTACATGTTTCACTTCTTATGCATTTACTTAGATCAGGGGAAGTTAAATAATCATTTAACATCATCAGCCTTTGATGCCCGTCACACCACCTCCACCTAGTGTCAACTCACTACATCACACTGATTTTCATGATTCCCTTTGCTGATAATATGCTGGTGGGTCAGTGAGGAAATGTAGGTTATGTCATTATCTCCATCAGCTCAGCTCCTAAAGGTTTGATTTGGCATTAAAGACTTTATTTAACCACTATAATTAATACGGTTTGTACTTGATGGCAAATGATTATTAAGGGAATAATGCATTTTAATTATACCTGATTCTCACTGGACTAACCCGTCTCCGTTCCTGCAGATGTGGTGTTCTTCGTCTACCTTTACCAGCGCTGGATCTACCGGGTTGATCCCAACAGGTTCAACGAGTTTGGCACCAGCGGAGTGGAACGCGTCCCCGACGGCACGGAAGCGGCAGACACCGCTCCTGGCGCAGACGCCGCTCTTGCCACACCCGCCGCCATCACAGACAAACCAGAGGAGGAGAAGAAGAACGATTAAGCGAGACCACGCCCTCATCTGCCTCCCTGGCCCTCACTTCTGGGGCGAAGAGGACTTGTGGAGATGAGGCAGGGAGGGGAGTCGTCGTTAAGCTGTCATGGACGCCACTACAAAAAAAAAAAAAAAAAAGTGCAGTTCAACTGTTCCCTGTGATCTCTGTGTGGATCCACAGAGAATCGTATTCAGTGTAGACTTGGTAAATTCTTCTTTCTGTTCCCGGCCCTCTCGTTTTGCAGTTCAAGTGAAGTAAAACAAAACGTGATGTACTGTATCTGTATGATTTTTCAGAGGGTAACGATGTCTTGGAGTAGAGGTTGGGAGGGGAACTGGTTGCAGTTATACTACTTATTTTTTATTTTTTTTTTTTTTTTTTTTTTTTTTTATAAAAAAAAAAAAAAGTTTTAAAAAAAAAAAAAAAAAAAAAAAAGAGGCTAAGTGTAGCTTTTTATTTAATTTTTTCTTTGTGTAGATTCCTTGTGAATTTTTCTTTTCATTCCATGTGAGCATTGTGTTTCGGATTGCCTGGAACCTGGTGAGTAGTGCTGGAGGAAACTGGAAAGAGAGAGAGAGAGAGAGGTTGTGACTGGAGAAAAGATGGCCGACTCAACAGGACACTACCCACAAGACAGTGACTACCCTCAATTTAAAACAAATGGTTAATGTTCTCAACTTGAACATAAAAAAATAACAGCCTTGTTGGTATTAATATAAATATATTAATATTGTCAATGACTTAATTTTTTTTTTTTTTTCAGTCACTGAAGCATCTTTTTTGTACATCCTCAAACTGCACAGAATCTCAGCTTGTCATGTTAATAATACTGTTGTCAAATCCGTGTAGCGTTAGCTAATTTGCAAGTCTAATTTTAATTTTATCCCTTCAGCCAGATGTCTGATTTTCAAATTGTTTCATGTCGACGCTTGAAAACAGATCGCCTCGACAGACACGGTGGAGACAGTCGGGTGTGCTGGAGGAACTCCAGTTTTAATTTTGAGTGCTGTAAATCCTGAAACGAATCGGTTTCCATATTCGTACATATTAAATTTTTGATTCACTCATGTTTATAGTAAAACCTAAGTGTGATTTAAAATGTCTTTCCAAAGCTTCTTTTCAATTGTATCACTTTGTTGTTTTTAAATAACTTTCTAGGTTCAAGAACCTTTTTTTTTTTTTTTTTTTTTGCATGAAACCAACATTTTAAAAATAGATGTTACAGCTAGTTTGTTTGCTTAAAGGGCACATGTGTTATGTAGTCGGGCCTTTGATGAGGGAAGCAAATGGGCTAGTTGCAGTATGAGTGATGTGAGGCTAGATGGACGTGTTTGACACTGTTGGCATTTGCCTATGCAAAGGATTCATCCACCACTTTCCTTTATGAAGCATTTGCAGAAACGCCAAAGGTCGGTGCTGCATGCGCCTCACCTACCAGGTCCCAGCTTGTGACATGACGGTTGTACGGGTCTCGCACAGTGATGTGACTGTTCATTGTCATAGCTTTTTCGGGTCCTAAAGAGCTAAAGCTCTGTTCAACTTTTTATGTGTAGTAGTTTTTCATATTCCGGGTTGAACAGTTTATGTGCAACACCACTGCAGCTGAGAGGAGTATCTGTATTTTTTATTTTTACTTGGTCCTCGCTGAGTCACTGCTTCCTCTAAACGCTTCAACGTTCACTTTCCATTTCCTGGAAGCCGCCTGTTCTCTGTGTATCCAGCAGGTGTCGCTGTTGCGCTTCACAACTTTGAGCAAACGGTTAAAAAGTTCATGCACGTCACTCTTATAAGGGCAGTTCCTAAACGTGCAGCGATCTTATGGGCGCAGTTGACGAATATAGTTGATAAAAATAGGAATTCCCACTTATCCATCAGGTCATCGGAATTCCCACTTATCCATCAGGTCATCGGAAACGGGAGCTGCGGCATGATGCAATAAATAAGCGCCATTAATGTCTCTGTATGGGAAAAGCTGGCGTTGACTACTTATAAATAGCCAAAGTGTTTGTGATGGAGGCTCATTTAAATAGTTGCAATTTGTTTAGCAAATTAAGTGAAACTATTACTTAATGGAAAAAAATCTATATTCTTTTTGGTGTCACGATCCCCTTTTGGGCTCTAATTTAAATATTGAACATCTTTAATTTGAATGCAGCAATGTACCTGGTAAAGGTACCTGCTGTCCCCATGGGGGGGTTTCCCTTCTGGGAGGTGACGTGACGTGGGGGGATTTCCATACCCTCAACCAGCCAATCAGTGCGAGGCTACTGCGGAAACCAAAAAAGTGAAGCAAACTACGCTTCAGAAGTCATCAACACATGGATTCAAGTCCGTCTAACGGCTCGTACGAGTTGGCAGTGAACCTCGGGGCTGGTTGTAGCCCGACTAGTCTTTACCGTATTTACCGAAGCTGCTTTCAAACGAGAGACGCGTCTCGACACACACGAGAAGAATAATACCGGATAGTAATCCGGTTCAGAAAGAATTTAAAGGACACGACGGCGGAGTATATGGTCTTTAAGGACTATTCACATGCGATGAACGACATGGACGTCTTCAACGGGACCTCTGGTAGGTTTTAGTGTGTGTGTGTGTGTGTGTGTGTGTGTGTGTGTGCGTATGTGTGTGTGAGAGAGAGAGAAAGAGGGCTGACATCATTACCAGGCATGTGATTTGTCAGAGCAAAGCAGCCAACACCCATTCCCGGGAACGGATCATTAAGTGTTAACCGGCTCTCATTCGCGCTGTTACTGCTCCACTTGGTGGAGATGAGAGGTTAAACATTGAACAGCTACGTTTATATTCTGATGCTTTCTCTTTGTCCTGCAGACTCGCGAGGGCCGTCAGAATTTGGTGAGTATTGACTTGTTTTTTTAGTTTTTTTAAGTCACGTGTGTGGGGATTGTGAGGCAAGTGGAACCTCAGGTGACCTCGTGCAGAAGGAGAAGTTAGACCTCACCTTCATCAGTGTTTCTGCTTCCTCATCTTTTATTGTAATGTGACAAAGCCTCTGGTTAGATTTTCTGGGAACCAAAACTAATCATAAAGACAAGAATATAAAAAAAATATTAACAGCATTATTAAGCATTTCATGTAGTCTTTCTAATATATTTATTATATTTAAGACTGCAACCTAATTTCATTATCTAACAATTATTTTCTCATTTAATTGTCGATACAGTACAAGTCTATCATGTTTAATAATATTGACAAATGTAATTACAATTCCCATAACCTGTTTGCATATTCAGATCACTTGCACTTATTGTAATTGCAGTTCAAAACCAATGCGTTTGGTTTGTTTTCACGTTATACATGTTTTAAATTACTAAAACGATCAAAATTGTTGCTGACTAACTGTCTCGCAATTGCCTAACAGATGACTTGTCTCGACTTTGTTAATGTTTTCTACTCGCTGCAAGAAACTGTAATTTCTGTTTGTTTGGCAAGTGTCATACATCGTAGAGCTCAACCACAGGTACAAATTAGTGTGCACTGTATATTCAAGTGCTGATAACCATAGCAGCAACTAACACTGGTGAAACTATCAAACCAACCACTGTAGCACAACACATTTAGTGTGATTTGGTAATTGGTCATGGTAAAGACGTTATAATACATGTGTAGTGACCTGATATAGAAAATAATGGACAGTGTGGGATAAACACTTTTAAGTTCATCACATACGAACAAAAAGTCAAAGTATTGTTATACACAGCTTCAACACTGTGCATAGATGGATATTAGGACTTTCATATTTCATCATGTTCCATACAGCAAACGTCGGATAAATAAACAGGCAAATATAATACTGACAACCACAACAGAACACGTGAACATTACTTTAGACCTGTTCAGCACATATCGTTTAAGTTCTTTAAACGTATCATAAGGTGCAGCATCACACAGAGATTTGTTACTAGTAGGCCAAGTAGACGATGTGATGCTTTTTTATAGGTCTTCAGAGAGACGCCATTTATAAGATCTACCGCGTTTATATTGTCAGCACAGTTCCTTATTTATTCTGGAGGTTTTATCATTTTATATCCTTTTGTCAAGATGACGTCATCTTACTGTAGCGCTATGTCTCTGACAACAGCTGACATTTAATGAAGAGAGCGGTGTTCCCTTTATTATTCATTGCCTAGTACATTTGTTTCAGACATTTTACACCAGCATTCTTTCAGTTACATCGGCCATCTGAGACACTATCAATATATTTCTTTGCAGATCTCATTGAGGAAATCATCACAGAGTGGTCAGGTGCCTCCCTGCCTGGACCTCCTGACCCCCCCGCTGACCTCTACCAGAACCCCAGGATGCGACAACAGAGCTCCTCACCGCCATCTCAGCCCGTGCTGCTGGCCAGAGGCACTGCATGTCAGGTACAAGAACATCTGAGGGTGTGCTCTCACAGTGTGATGATTGTCTACCAGTGTAGTCATTTGGGTTGTTTTGGGTTACGTCTGTTCTCCTCTGGTTTCTACCTCTGTTAGATGTTTCCTAGACTGTTGCCAACAGTCATTCCTAGAGTGACTGTTATAGCAATGCAGCAGCAGGCCTTGACAAACGCAGATAAAGTTTAATTGTACACAAGATCATTTTATTAATGCTAGTTGTATATAAAGTGTTAGAGGACCTGCATATTTTAGCTCCAATCTCAAGACTGAGTACAGATGCCATTGTAATAGTTCATGGATTTTAAGGCTTTTCCCAGCTTGTCTTTATTGAAACAAATAGTCCTTTTTTTCTATTGGTCGGTTGTCAGAGAATTTATTCCACAACTTCGATTATTATTGTACTGTAAACGTTTATCATCATATGTATGATATCATTATATCCCCATGTTGTTACAGTCCCTCAAATGTGAGGATTTACTGCTTTATTTTTCCTTGTTTTGTATAAAAATGATTATTAAAGTATAACAAAGCATCCAGTCAGACATGTAATTTGAAGATGTTACCATGAGCTGAGGGAGCTTGTGATGGCCATTAAAAAACATGTCTGGGGACTGCAGCCTTTTTAAGGATTAAGTGGAGGTAGAAGACACTGCAGGCGGTTGTATGTTTTGTTGTTGTACAGAGTAATATTTAGGCGGTCGGGCTCTTACAATAAAGCACGTGGTTTACAGATCAGAAGTGCTGTAATCTGATAAGACTGCAGTGATGTTGTAGCCTGCACAGACGGGTAATAATGTAGGTCACAAGAAAACAGCTGAAACTCTTTACCCGCAAAGTACCTGCATGTGAGATGCAACATTTTGGGTGGGTCTGTGTGTAAATACAATTTCTTAAAAAAAGTCTCGCGGCCTGTGATCGTGGCTGACGCACCTCCTCAGCATGCTTTTCTGTGGGAGGCGGCTGAGATGGAGGAGTGGTTGGAATAACTGTAATATGACTCCTACTTTCAGTTTGCCATCCTTTCTGTTTACCAGTCAAACCCACCGAGGGGTGAAAGGTCACATTCTTCGCCTTGCGCTTCTCCAATTGGTCAATCCACGTTAAGTTGAGCTGGCTTCCTATTTCCTGTCCGCTGGTTCAGTCTGCCAGGCTTTTGTTTAGCTCTTCTGTTTTCAGGCTAACAGGTCCGTCCCGGCTAACACGCTCTTCTAAATTTGATATCTGTGGCTCGACAGGATATTGTGAAACATGATCTCATGCAAAGGCATCACCCAGATCTCTGCAGCAACGGTTTAATGAGCTCTCTGCCTCTCTGATTTACTGCTTCTCAAGTGAAAAAGAGGTCAACTTCTTTGTTCTCTGCAGGTTTTCTTTTTCTTCCTTTTGCGTTACATTGAAGCCTAATAGTGAATATAGGGAGCACTGCAGATAAAGAAAAAGAAAGTAATGGCAGCACTGTGAGAGATATTTTCAACAACAAGAGTCTGACTGGGAGCGGAAAAACTTGGTGGTCTGTGGTATAACGAGCAAATAAGAGATCAAAATGTAAGTAGGAGTCAAATGAGCACATTGTTAACTCTTTGCACAGATAGAAAGCACATGTATGAAGGAAAAAACATGCAGTGACTCAGTTTTACTGCTTAGTTTCACTGCAGCCGTCATGCAGAATGCGTCACGTACAGCGTCATCTGGTATATACTTCTAAAACGTGCCTCTGACAGTCTATGTTGTTTTCTAATGCTAAGGGGAAGCCTATAGGGTCATGGGATGATTAATGGGATAGCCAGACACAGTCAGAAGGTGGTCACAGGCCAAGAAGTTTGGGAACCACTGGATAAGTCTCTTGTGTTTTTATGTAAAATCTTAATCTGAAAAGTAACTAGTAGCTAAAGCTGTGAGATAAGGTAGCGGAGTATTTTTCACGGCTCAGGACCAGACAATAGAAGTTGTAGGTATTTTGCCTCTTGAATGTCTCTCAAAAGCAACATGTTGAAAACCTTGTTAAGAAACAGAGACTGAACTTTCTCATTTGAAGTGCTGGTGTTTTAAAGCCATTTTGGCTATTTTACAAGCATATCTCTGTGAATTATGTTCATCCTTCAATCAGTATCTCGGATCACAAGACGTACATCTGCTGTCTGTCCCTAATGTGAGGACAGAAATGGGAAAGACGGTCTTTATGTTGTTTTGCTCCAGCTTTTTAATTTGAAACCTTTGTATTGTTTTATCTGTTGCATCTGTTTATACTGTCGTCTTGGTCAGGTCTCTGTTGAAAAAAGAGGTTTTCTAACCTCAACAGGTGTTACCTGGCTGGATAGAGGATAAATGATGGTGTTAATAAGGTTTTGTTGTTGTTTTTCCATAGCCAACCTGCACCTTCCCTCAGCGAGAGATGGCTCATTCTTCCCGGGGAGCCGGTGCCGGTTTCCCGCGGCGTGGTCGAGGCTCCTCGTGTTCGCTGGCCTCCAGGAGCTCCCATGGCGTTTCCTCTCAGAACCACGGCGGCGAAACGGAGATGCTGGAGCGGCTTCTGAATAAGCCCAAGCTGGTGGTGTTGGAGGAGCCCAAGGAGAGAGGCATGAGGTTTCGCTATGAATGTGAGGGACGCTCGGCCGGCAGCATCCTGGGGGCGTCCAGCACTGAAACCAACAAGAGTCAGCCTACAATAGAGGTAGATGCACTGCAGTTCATTTTTTTTAATTTATTTTGATGTGCTGGACCTTAAAGGGGGTTTACTAGCTTTCAGTGACAGTTGGAGAGTTTTTTTTTTTTAACCACAGTTGATTTTGTTTGGTGTGCACACTTCAACCCCCCGTGTAAGATGGGTGGAGCTGGAAGGATGTGGGTTGTTGGAGTCAATTAGAAAGTCCCTGCAAATCCCAGCTCAAGTGTGGTCAAAAATGAGTGGTTTATCCCCTACCCCCCATACTAACAAACACACCTACACGTTCATCTTCCCCTTTATACAAACACCATCGCACAACGAGGACAACACTTGAGGCGTGTGAAGTTCTTAACATTTTAAAATCAGTGTATTTCTTTATTTTGTGTAAATAACATGTAGTTGTAAGTAATCCTTGATTAACATTTTGTTGATGCCATTTTTCGTTCTTGGTGAAATTAGTACCTCAGGCATTGGTGATCAGATGTTTGTCCCAAATGGGTCAGTTAAAATACACTGTGAAAAGGAGGGGAGGGGAGAAAAGTGAGAATATGCTAAATATATACACAAACACTCCAAGATTTTGATTTGCAGCTACTCTGAATGACTTGTTCAGGCAGCATCTGTTGCACATTTTAATGTTTAATTCATCAGTTTTTCCTCAATCTTTCTCAATTTGACAGTTCCCCTTGTTATTTACAATATTTCTTACTATATCACCATGTTAAGACACTTCCTGTTTAACCGTAAATGTGTCTTTATATGTCTGTGTGTTGTGTGGTTGTTTTTGTCAGCTAGATGTCGATACGTTTACTGTTGCCTCATGTTCTTCTGTTTTCTCCCTACTTCTCTTTTTCATCTTCCCGTCCTGTTCTGTCTTTCAGATTCAAGGTCCCATTAAACACTTAAAGAGGGTCACAGTCACGGTTTCCTTGGTGACCAAAGACCCCCCACACCGGCCTCACCCCCACTGCCTTGTGGGTAAAGACTGCCCAAACGGTTCAGGGATCTGCGTGGTCACGCTCAATCCTCACAGCAACCGACGTCACAGGTGCTAATCCCATCTTTCATTTATCTCTTCCCCAACGTTTTATTAAATCATTATCTTTCTTGCATTTTCTTACAACAATGTGTTTTTTCTTCTGGACTTGCAGCTTTACTAACCTCGGTATCCAGTGTGTGAGGAGGAAAGAGCTGGACACTTCTCTTGAGAAGAGAAGAAACCAAAATATCGACCCCTTTCAAAGTAAGATGGATCCCAACACACACACACACACAGCTCATCAGAACTTAGTTAATGTTGTCATCTTTCTACACATCCATGGTACTGGTGCTGTTTCTTCTTTCCTTGCTGTTTTTGTTGTTGTGTCTCCTGGAAACAGACTTTAATTTTGTGTCTCTTCATCCCTCAGCTGGTCACACGAAGGGCATTGAAGACATGGACATGAACGCTGTGCGTCTGTGTTTTCAGTGCGAGTTTGAATGGGAAGACGGCAGAAAAGACTGTCTCAGCCCAGTGGTGTCCAACCCCATCTATGACAAGAGTAAGAAACGGACTCTTTTAAACAACTGCACTAACAATATGTAAATGCATTTTCTGATTCTCACGAACTGTTGGATGCTTTGTTTTTTTCACAGAGGCCACGACTACATCACAGCTGAAGATCAGTCGTTTTAACCAGTACAGAGGTTCCTGCTCCGGCAAGACAGAGATCTACATGTTGTGTGACAAAGTGCAGAAAGGTAAGAGAAAGTTTCCTTGTGTCCTTTCTGTCACCCATATACAAAAAAAAAAGTATAGAGAGGGTGAACAAAACGATGCTCACACAGTAGTTCATGGGACAAGCTAAGTGTATGAAACATCCCCTGCTGGGTCAAATGCACACCCGACCAAAGGCAGACATTTACAGTATGATGATGCTCCCAAACTTTAGTTAGCAGCCATTAAAACAAGGCCTTGTCGATACGAATTAAAGCAAGCTTCTGCGATTATAGTTGTTTATTTGTGAGGCAAGGGATAGTTTTATAAAGCTTATTGCTTATGTTTATTTTTTCAGTCATTATTGAGGAGGGGTTTCTTTTGACCACTGTTTCTCTTTTATCATAGCGTTTTCCTACCTTCATTTGTTAGACGGGTTCTCTTGCTGCATCGTATTATTTATGAGTGGAGCAGTGTGCATTTTGCAGGCTTTGCACCTGTAAGTTAGATATTTTGTTATACAGCAGAACTAGTACTAACGTAGAGTAGATGCCTCTGTGACTGATTTACAGCAGCTGCTGTCTGATTTAATGTCTTTTATGCCTCCACACCGGCAAGAGCTTTGGCCAGATCATTATTGACACAGCACTTAGTATGGTTCGGATAAAAGAAGATATAAATAGCAGGCACACTGGACAGCACTGGGACCTAGGGGTGGGCGACATAGCCTACATCTTCTATCATGGTATATATTATTTTATATTATGGTAATGGTATATACAGTAAATATATAATTGAGAACAAAAAAATAATGAAATAATAAAACCACCACACCGTACTTCATCACATGTATAAAAACAAAAGACTCAAAAAAAAAGCTAAAGTTCTTTCAAAATGAAATGATTGTTCTCAGGAATGTTAAATCTTCCAAGTGTTACGTGTTTGGAGTTTAACAGTTGCAAATAAATACCAGCCTGGCTTCAGTCAGAATCAGTGATCAGAAATCACGCAAATTATTAAACCAAAAGAAAAAAAAGACTTTGACTTTTCCTGCTGGATTAGCTCAGCTTTCATTTTAAAAAGCCGTCTAAACACAAAAACTACAAATGTCTTGTAATCATGTTACCAGAGTTCTTACTCATCTTGGGTACCTGCTCTGTATTTACAACTTTACTCTCCTCCTCCATGTCTGCAATCATCACACAATATTGCCATATCACTTAAGAGTAGCTTCCGTGGTAGAGACGGTATTGCCAAATAAATATATATATATATGTATGTATGTATGTATATACAGTATATGTGTATGTATGTGTATGTATGTATATACAGTATATGTGTATGTATGTATATGTATGTATATACAGTATATGTATACGTATGTATATACTGTCATATCGCCCAACCCTACTTTGACTTGTCATTTAAAAACTGAAATTAGGATGGAAAAATAAATCCTTTATATTCTGAGGTATTTTTCTCATTTCTCTTGATTAACATGGCTCTGTGTTTTTTCACTGATTCAAAGATGATATAGAGATCATCTTCAGGCGAGGGTCGTGGAAGGCGAGCGGGGAGTTTGCCCAGACAGATGTGCACCGGCAAATCGCCATCGTGTTTAAGACTCCGCCCTACCAGGACCAGGACATCACAGAGGAGGTTGAAGTCAGCGTGGTCCTGCGTCGCCTCTCAGACCAGATGGAGAGCGAGTGTGTTACCTTCACGTACCTGCCACACAACCCAGGTCAGTCAAGACTGTACAACACTGAACTGTCTGGTCTGTAGAGCTATTGATGTCGGCTTGAATGGCTGAAGTTTACTTGATGGAAAACAAATTAGAAACATTAACAGCAGGTTCATTTAACTCATTTCAGATCCATATGAGGTGAAGCGGAAGAGAAAGATAAAGTCAGACATCGGCTTCAGTGAGAAAGCTTGTGTGACAGGTGAGGCTCAAATGTCTTTTCTTTAGTCCGATTTGATGTTTTCTTTTCTCATGTTTATGTTTTTTTGGACTGTGGCTGTATCGGCTTTTTCACAGCAAACATTCTGACTTGCCACGGCATAAAAAATCCAACATGAACAGTGGCTCAGTTCTGTGAAATCTGGCCAGACACTGTGCATTTTTATTCATCTTGTACGTTGTGTTAACTCGCACTACGTGTTTTAATCGGCTTTTCTGCACAACGAGAACTTTTATACTCACACTGAATGTAAACACAAAAACCTGTTGAGCCCAAGATGATTGATATACATAGTGAAATAAATGTAGTATAACTATTCTATGTACATGCATATGCACATGCTGTTTACCCTGAATGGAAATTGAAATAAAATATACATGCGCACTGACGTTAAATAAAATAAAGGTACAAATAAAGGTGCAACGTATTAATGAACCAGTTAAATGTTTCAGGTGACAAGAAATGAAGTAACTGTACAGAGAAGTACAACAGCACCACAAACTACACCTGAAAATGAAAGTTCCTTGTAGTAACTAAGTGTTTTTTGTTGTGTACACACGCGTTTGTTCCTACACCACCATCAAAATAGCCTACGCTACTCCAATTAAGCAGAAAAGTCTTGATTGAAATAATGTCAAGTTTCAAACGGCACAAGTCTCATGTCCTGATCCAAGTACAAAGATCTCAACATAATAACGGACCTTTCATCAGATTTCTAACCGGTTGTTATTTTTCTTTGTAACATAATCCGTTTCCTCTCTCTGCAGCGGAGAGTGCACCTGCAGCAGAGCAACCCTTCCTCATTCAGCAGCCTCCAACCATGATGTCTCCCAACGAGAGGCTTTGTGCTGCCCAGCCTGGGGCCTCGGCTTTAGGGGATATGTGTTACAACGAGCCCCAGGACTCAAACAATGGCAGCGATGCAGACATCCTGAATCAGTTGAATCAGTTCGAAATACCTGTACTATGGGACATGATTGCCGACCCCAGCTTTGCCTTGTCCGTGCCCTCTAGCTTTGAGCAGGGGCCCGATGCCAGCTCCACGTTTGCCACCCCGGATATGAACTTTAACCAGAACTTTGGCTCGTACACACAGGACTTTTCCCATTTCAGCGACTTGCAGTTCAACATGCTCGTCAACGAGATCCAGACTCCGCAGTCAGAGGGCCAGGACAGCCCCTCCAACATGGTTCAGGTGAAGACAGAAGAGGAGCTGTGAGGAACGAATAGTCCGGATCATGAATCGCCCTTACACTCTCTCTGTCCACTTCAAAATAATATCGTTGGCACTTTGGGGAAAAATGCTCACTGCTTTCTTGCAGAGAGTTAGATGAGAAAATTGGTACCACTCTCATATGAAAGAATGGTTTGTTAACCCCCTTAACGCCTCTGGATTTAGACCCAAACAAGATTATGTTGTCCTCAATCCAAGACTACTGCTTCGGCTGATTGCACTGTAAAATGTGTTTGCCCTCTTGCTAAATCCATATCTTTGTCTGGAGACCTTGCTGGTCAAGGCTTTAGCAACCAGCAGGAGAGGGTTAACATTCCTGCAAGTGTGCTGGTAGATGCTCACAGCACTAATCGTCAGATTCTCACGGTCAGCGTGGCGTTTTAAAGAGAGAGCTCATGAACGTCTATATTTAACTTGGGAACAATAGAAACCCTCCCATGAATTGTCTTCTATTGTAGTAAATGATTAGTGAGGTATGACTTAAATACCTGTCATATAGTGTCTGTGTAAGGTCTTATGTGCTTCAACATGATTTTGGGAAAGCGACCTGACTTCCTTCAAGAAGTGTAGGATTTTAGTTTTAGCACAAAAAGTCTCAAGTAGTTTCAGATCTGCTCTTCACATTGTTCTTGTTCTTTGATCACTCTCTGTTGATGTGGCCGCTTGTTTAATAATTAATCTACTTAAAGGCAATAGAAACCAGTCCTCTTATTTAAACTTCGTCTGTGTCAGTTCCTGCTGTTGTGCAGTTTCACTCTCGTGCTAAACATTCGAACTTCCACTCGTAGCTCGTCACGAGTTCAACTCCGCCCGTCGCTGTAGCATTGTAGTGTCCATGTTTCGGGAAATAAACTGTCTCTTTGTCTGTTATTTTTGTCCTGTCGTTACTTCCTCTGAAGCCGACTGCTGCCTTGATGACTTGTCAAAAGAAACAAGAGCAGAGAGCAGAGTGACAAAAGGATGAAATCTATTTTAAATGTGACTTTCAGCTGCCTACACACAGTACTAACCTGCTCGCTCACTTATAAAAACAATGACGCTTGGCAATAGCAACATCAACAAGTACGTGATTGTGTATTTGCTGCTTTTCTCTTCTTGGCTTTAAATGTCAGCACTGTCACAAGACGATGTTGAATGACTTGTTTGCCCAAGATATTAGATACAAACCTTCAGGTGAGAGGTGTCCTTTGTTCGCAGCGTCTTAACTTCACTCGATGCCTTTTTATTCTCAAGATATTGGCACATTTTACAGTAGTCCAGGCTGTAGAACAATTCTGCTTTCAGTTTGTGGTTTCTGCTGAATCTTTTGTTATGTCACATGCTTATCAGGAACCTCGTAATACCACTTAAGGAATATTTATTTATATATATACGTATATATACTGTATATAGACAGATCAGGAAGTTTACGCCAATATTATGTGACCTTCATTTCAAAATTGTCAGAATGTCTAAATTGAGGTTTGTGAGCAAATTTTTAGTGCTTTTGTTCAAAATCCATACGAGGGTCGTTGAAGAGTAACTTCAATATTAAATGTTTTTGTGTGGCTTACTATACTATGACTTTTTATAACATAGTATACTAGACGTAATATGTTGTGATATCTTAATGTCTTATAGTTATTTTGACTTTTTATGGCATATCATACTATACTATGACTTAAGACATTTTGTTATAAATTACTGGCTTTTTTCAACGTGCTATATTAGTTGTTTGTCACTTTTTTGGAAATACTGTAACATATATATATTTTTTAACTTTTTGGTACATTCTATACCATGACTTCTTTATTACTTTTTTGGGCATATTATACAATGACTTTTTTACGTTATTTTTGGACATGCTATTCTTCCACTAGGGGTCTGTGTCCTGGTTGCTGCCTAGTTTGTCTTTCAGGATTTGCAGCTGACGAGTCCCACCTGAGCCTGGTGTGGTTCCAGCTTTTAAGACACACCGGCTGACCATGGATCGGCTCCTCTTCTTTGCTGCCTCTTGTTTGGATGACACGGCTGCTTATTTGTTTTGTTCGTTAGTTTGGTTACATGTTCTTTATATACATGTATATTTAATACTTTTACACTCGTCTTGTCTCCCTTCATGTTACAGCCTTTGAGCCGGGTTGTAACACTGCACTGTTGCGAACATGAAATAACAAAACTTTTTGGACATACTATACTATGACTCTTTCATGACATTTTTGGACATACTATAACTTTTAATGACTTTTTTTGACATGCTATACTATGACTTGTTCATGAACGTTTTCGAACATGATATACCGTATCTTTATTTGACATTCTATACCATCACTTTTTTTGACATGTAAAATTGACTTTTTAATCACTTTTTTTGACATGTTAAAAGAGACATTTTTTAGATATTATATTATGAACTTTTTAAACTCTACAATGGCTTTGTCAGACAAACTATTCTATGGCCTTTTTTTCGACATACTGTACTATAACTTTTTATGATTTGTTTTCTAAATGCTGTATTATGGCTTTTTTTCAGACTATTTCTGAATAATATACAATGATATCTTTGTGACTTTGGTGTAACTGTTTTCGACATAGTACACAATGGCTTTTTAATGGCTTTCTTTTTTTATATATATATATATACTAGGAAACTCTTTTTAAAACTAATATTAAAACTTTTCATGACTACTTTTAATATAAAATACTCAGACATTTTAGTGACTTTTTTTTTACATACTATACTTCCATTTTTAAATTGCATACTATGCTATGACTTTTTATGTCATACTATATTATAATCATATCACTTTTTTGACAGATTTTGTCTGATCTGGCCCTGTGACATGTGACATCACACATTTTTAATACTGGGAGTTTCTGTTATGACTTTTTTAATGAAACTTTTTATGGTACGCTATATAACTATCTTTAACAGGGAAATAATTTCTCAAATGTAAATACAAAGAATGTTAAAATCAATCAGTCAAATAATTTCAAGTTAAGTTTATATATGTACCTTTGATTTCAATTTTATAGAAGGCTTTGTGGACTGCAGAAGTAATCAAGTGAGCATTGGCAACAACCTAAACTGGAGGCCGTCTTGCAATTTGATCACACCAGCCTGACGTCAATCAAAGGCCTAAATAAATACAATTTAAAATCATATAAAAATAGAAAAAGTAACAAATCCTCACATTTAAAAAGTTGAAACCAGTAAATGTTGTGATGGTCACACCCATGACCCGATTTTTACTGAACCCTAAACAAACAATGATGGCCAAGGTGTAGTTTAAATATTTAACATTCCACGTGTGCACCTGGTTATCTCATGTGTTGTTGTTGGGTGTGAGATGTTGAGAGCAGCAGGTGTGCTACTTTTTCTGGCTCTTTCTGTCACTTATTGACTTGACCCGAACAGAATTGGCTCACTGCCGCTAGGAAACTCCACACTGAGCTTGTATCCAAGGCCTCTGATCGAGATAAACATTATTTCCTGTAAAATGGCACCGCCTTACCCTGCTGCTGTGACTCATCTGGACACGTCTACACTATCAGCCATAACATGTGGTCATCCCAAAACTGGTGGTTTAATAAAAATTTATATAAATAGAAGAAGGCTTTAATAGCTACAGGAAGTATTAGCATACGTCAGGATTTACTTTGAGGCTTATTTGTATCACGGTCTAGTTTTTACCATCTGCGACAGCTTGTGGCTGGTATTGTTTTCAGATTGTGAGTCTGAGTGTGTATCATCATGGCGAAAGGTGAACCCTCACTTTAAGCTTCTGGCCTGATTTGGCATCGCAGCTGGTGTGATACCATCGCAAGATCTCTAGTTGATCTGGGATTTTAGTTTTTACAACAGCAGTATCCTCAAAGGACATTTTTGTGGTGGGATGTAACCAAGTACATTTATTCACTTAAGTACTGTACTTACATACAAATTTGAGGTACTTTTACTTGAGTAAAGTATCTGAATACTTCCTCCACCACTGTTAATATCTGCAGGTTTAAAACTGCAGTCATGAACCTCAACTCGCAGTTGTCTGATGTGCAGAGGTGTCTGATGGTTTGTGGAGACTCAGTGGAAAATTGAGTAGACAGGGTGAGTCATGTGCGGTGGAAAAAAAAAATCACATACAGAAATAATGATGGAAAGAGACTTAATCAGGGTGCTTGAGTCTTTTTTTTTAACCGGAAATGTGTAAAGGTTGAAGTTGAACTTTCAGTTACATCACTCAGATGAAGTCATCAAAACAGGAGCTGCAGTCACACCCACTCTCTGTCAGGTGATCACAACTGTTTACCAGTCACTCACTGATAAATCTCACATATTATGGTGAATAATCTGAAGAAGAAGAAGAAGAAGAAGAAGTGTTCCGCTGTTGTACTGAAGCACAAAAGTATTAGCATCACAATGTACATAAAGTATGAAAAGTTAAAAGTGTGCAGAATGGTCCGTGTAATGTTGCAGCTGGTTAAGGTGGAGATAATTTAAATTACGTAATCAGTCTGGACCACAGTGGTGGACTACATCACCATCCACAAAGTTAACTTTCTTAAGCTTGATAAACCTGAGTGTAAACATTAAACCATTAAAAAAAATATCCATATTTGACCACAGGTGGACTGGAAAGGGGATTGGTAAAGAGGCAGCTACAATGATAAACATTTACAAATTTAAAAATGGCTTAACATCTCTAACTTTAAGTGTTACTTAGCTCAGGGGAGCGACATGAAGCTGCCTGAAGGCTCTAACATGCGTTTGCTGACAGAGAAAAATCGGTTTAAGATTTTGTGTTTATTTGGATGATTTGCTGATCACGTGCACTATATGAATGGGGTAATTCCAGACAGGGGTTGCATCTATTTAAGGAGTGAATCTTTCTGTTTACACGGGCCAGGTATCATTTTTGTTCCCTCTGTTGCCAAGTTACAACACCCACGGGAGTCCCCACACCAGTAGGGACTCCCCATCTTCCCATAATAGCACGCTGCAACCGCTAAACTACACAACGCCAATACAACTGTCACAGATCAGACCAGAGGTGTTGAAAGCGAAACCGGCCGAGAAACGGCTGGTTTTATGTTTGAGTGCACCTCTTTGTCTGTCACCATATAAGGATTTTAGCTGTATCAGTGTGTCTTCATGGGCAGATGTGTGGTTTATTACAACACTTGTTTGTTTTGTAGCACTACTTATTGTCGTTACCAAGAAAAAAAATCAAAGAACGTTTTAGGAGCTACAGCACATTTAACTGCAGCTGTATTGGCCTGTTTTCTTTCCGTAGTTCTTTAAATCGATTTTAAAAGAACAAAGAAGGCTTCATAATCCAACAGGCTATAATCTAACGCTATCAAATGGAGAGTTTGCTAATTTAAAGCATTTTGGCTCCATCTACTGGGTAAACAGACTTAACATGTCCTGGGTTTACAGTACATACTCAAAGGTAGTGAAATACACATTTAACTAAATACTTTAGAAACCTAAATAAACTATTAGACATTTCGCAATTAGAAATCCAAATGAACTATTAGACATTTCGCAAAATACGCATATTGGCAGAGTTGATGAAAAGTACCAATATCACGATGTAAAAGTCCTGCATTCAAAATTTAACTGAGAGTACATTGTTGGTATTGGTGTTAGTAAGTGTTCATCATACAGTACTGTGGTTCCGTTCAGAATTATATTACCACGTATAATATTATGTGATTACTATTGCTTGTTAAACCCCATTTTAGTGTTAATGTTTTAACATTTTATACACTTGTGGGTAGTTTAGTCTTTAGCAATGCATTATATCTTTTTAAGGTTTTTAAGGGTTCATAGGTTGTGTACATTTTCTTATTTTATCTATAAAGAACTATAAAGTAGTAAATACCATAAATTGGAAATATTCAAGTACCTCAAAATTGTACTTAAGTGCATTATTTGAGAAAATGTACTTAGTTACATTCCACCACTATTAAGAAGATCGATATCACTTTCATATTTACCCTACCTACGATAAAATAAAAAAACTGTATCACTTACAATAAGCCAAATACTTAATTACATAATATTGTAACTTCATGAAGTACAAAATAGGCAAAATTCGCCTGAAAAAGGTAATTTCCTTCATAACAAAATTAAGCGAAACGCTCATGATTTAAGTAAAATACTTTATTATACAAAAATTGTAAATTCCGTCATGATAAAATTAAGTAAATTTACGAAGTACAAAAATCAGCTAAATTCTTATGAAATAAGCAAAAGCCTTAGTTATAACAAATAGAAAATTCCTTGATTACAAAAGTAAGTAAATTCATGAGGTACAATAATAAACAAAATTCTGATGGAATCAATTTCCTTAATTACAAGCAAAATGTTTATGATTTAAGCAAAAATCCTTAATTAAAGCATTCTTATGAAATATAGAAAATCTTTGATTATAAAAAACAAGCAAAATCCTCAATAACATTCTTATGAAATAAGCAAAAACCTTAATGATAAAAATGATAAAATTCCACATGTACAATAATAAGAAAAATTCTTGTGAAATAACAGATTGTCAACATTGAGTATCGTTCTACAGAATGTAGAAGATATATGTCAATGTTTCATGTTTATTCTAATACATCACATTAACATTGTTCCTGATAGTCTTTGGTTTCTAAGACGCCGGCTGCTTGGACTCTGGTAAACCTGCTCTCAAGTCTAGTTTTCAAATGAAACTTTATATCTGTGAGGTGTTTTTAAAGATTCACGTCTTCAGCAGGAACCAATGGGCTTGGAGCTGAGAGCCACAGACAGGAAGTCAGAATGTATGGAGAGACCAACACATTGTTGAGAATAAGAAAGACGGGCTATAATAATGTGATATAATAGTCCAGCCTTCTTGTTTCAAGGGAGCTGATGGTGGTTGTGTGTCAGGCATCCATCTGGATGTGAGATGAGGTCCTTGGAGGAGCTACTCTGCTCCCTGAGCTCCTTCTTCAGCTACAGGAACATCCAGGTTATACTGATCCAGCTCAGTGTTCTTCTGTCTGCACGGCATCTGCCCCCTGTTGGCCTGGAGAGCACAGTCCTGTCTTCAGTTCACTAAAAACAGACCGAGAGCTTCATTCCAGTCGCTGGTCTAAACAACAGACGTGTGTCCGTACCTTACAGTAGAAGTAAAGGGCAACGTTCACCAACAGCAGAGTCAGCGGCAGGACGATCGCTTTGATGATCAGAGGTCTTGGATCTGAACAAACACATGGACAGTCATCATATCTCACGACATCATGAGTCCAACAGCTCCCATTGACCCTGAAATCTACAATCACTGACATGTATTACTCTTCATGTTTACTTCATATTCACTGTTTGAACCACAGACGATATATATGGTAGAGACCTGTCAATCACCGTGTAGCCCCGCCCTAAAGCCTACCCTGCTTTATGGTCTATTTGACTCTAAATGGACCATAATTTACTAAATGAACATCATGCTGTATTGAAGAAGACTTGAAACTAGAGATTGAGAGCATAAACTCATGTTTATAATGTTTACTGAGGTAATAAATGAAGTGAGAAGTAGAGTCATTTTCTCATAGACTTCTCTACAACCAGAGGAGTCGCCCCCTGATGGACATTAGAGAGAATCTGGTTAGTCTTGGTTTCATGTTACAATGATGTCATCACCTACGTCCTGTTTTCATCACCAGAGCTACTGGTCAGAGCTGGACCATGCTACGCTGTGATTGGCCAGTCAGCATTAGAGGGAAGGGACGCAGTGAAGAGTCAATTGAAAATGTAATCGCTATCGTTAACGACTGTCTCAACGTTTGGTTTCCAGGATAACCCTGGTTCTCTGAGTGAGGTATCGGAGCACACCGCCCTTCTTGCTTCTGATAGGTGGAGGAACAACACTTGAAAATGGCGAGTTGGGGGCTAAGGGATGTTATGACTGATGTGGTGGCAGTGGAGCTTTTGTGATTGGTCACATCAGAAGGTGCTTCAGTTCTCAGAGAACCACCAAACCTGCTCTGTCCTATATTATATTGTTAGCTGTTGCCATTTATAGACTTTAGGTTTGGTTAATATATGACATGAGTAACACAATGTCAGGAGTCACAGTGTCATTCCAGAAACAACAACATGCATGGACTCTGTGGTCAGCTGATCATATTCAGTCAGTTTGGACCAATCATTTCCCCCAAACCTGCATGTAAACAGTCAGCTTACCTAAGACAGTGATAGAGAGCGGACGGCTCTCAGAGGAGAAGGTATGATTAAAAACATAGAGGTGATAAACACAGCTGTAGCTTCCTTGGTGGGCGGGCTCTGCAGCAGCAAACAGGAAGTGGGCAGAGTGATTGACAGCTGGCTGGGTGTAGTTGTGTGCTGAGTTGGAAGAGGTGAAGGTGAGCTGGAAGGAGCCTCCTGGGTACTGTGGCTGGATGGAGCAGCAGATGGTGAAGGTGGAGCGCCTGAGCACCCGAGCCCCCTGCTGCTGGGCCTCGGAGACCCCGTACATTGAGGAGGACACGGTGATGATTGGCTGAAGCAGCAGGTCTGTAAACACAGAGAGATGATGAAAGTTCACATTTACCCTCCGTTGAACAAGATGGACCCTGAATAAGGACGTAATGTCACAGGTCTGACAGACAGACAGACAGACATACAGGTGTGTCCTGCCAGGTGCAGCTCAGCAGTCTATGGAGGGTTTGAAGCTTCCAGAAACGAACCCACCTCTCTACACTTCAGCATGTTGTTGTCCTGGATAACTTTACAGTTCAGTCCAATGGAAACCCACTGACTGTCACTGTGACAGAGGACGGAACATACTGCTGTCTAATACAGCTATTGCTGTCAGAGATGATGTCATAGATGATGTCACTGATGGACTTACCTGAACAGATGAGATCATAGATGGAGGAAGAGGAATCTGGTATTAAACAATCTCTCAGATCAGATGAAAACAGAACACAGTCATCGAAGCTCCACCACACAGATCTCTCTGAGGACTCCACTCTCTGTTCTACAGAAACAGCAGAGCCACAGTCCAGCTCTCTACAGAAAAGAGCTGCTTCCTTCAGGCTCCAGTCAAAGCCATCTACTGGTCTCCAATCTCCTTGAAGTTTCACCTCCAGTGTTCCTGCACAGCGACTGTCTCCTCCCACCAA